GTAAAAAAAAAGAGATAAAGTGTCACTCCTCGAATAACACAGCAGGCGATGTATAGTCCGTGTACAGCGTCGCACAAAGAACGAATTCACGATTGTAAAATTGGCGTCGTCGTCGGCTGATTGAATTGAATTGTCGATAAGGCAATTAGTGCAGAGGAAGAAGAAAGAAGATTTTTCCCGACGCACTCTCTCTCTCTCTCTCTCTCTCTCTCTCTCTCTCTCTCTCTGTGTATATAAGACATTCGGAAAGCTTTCCTTTGTGTATTCCTCAGGACGTCGACTATAGTAAGAAGCTCTTCGCGCATTAGAATGCAGCGCCGCTGGCCCGTAATCAGACTAGAACAGAAGAGAGACTCCTAACTAGCTATGGATCTAACCAAGCTATATTGTCATCTGTATATATGTAAGTTGGCTACTACAGTTGGACAATTTTTTCGTTTTGTGTAAAGTTCTTTTTTTTCTGCGTTAGCTGGGCTATAAAGTTTCAAACATGAACCTATCCATGATTTATTACTATGGGTTTTGAAGGACACGTGTTTTTCAAGACAAATGTATTATATATTTCAATTTGGCTAAGCGGAGTACGGGAAGTTTTGATGAAGAGAAAATTTTGAAAGGCGAAATGTTTTTAGGACGAAAAGTTTTTGTTTTCAATTTTCGTCTGACTAAATACAGAAGTTTCTACTTAAAGCCGGAAAGTTTTCTACTGCGTTGATTTCAGTTTTCGAAATTTGTTTTAATGTTCGAACTGAAGTGAGCTATCTAAACTTTTAGATGTATTGCTTGATAATTAGCTCAAAAAGAACTTAACTATATACAAGTTTTAACTAGTAATATAATAGTAGAACGACAGTGGAAAGAAACTTTTTCTTTAATAATAAAACAGAAGATTATGAACAAAGTTCATGTGACGTCATATTTTTCAACGACAAAACAAAACTTTCAGTAAGATTACCATAAATCGCAAACGCTAAACCAAAAAAGCTTGCTACCCCCATCCCTCGACCTCCAAAAAACTCCCATCATCACATACCCTCTATTCTCATTCACAAACAATTTCATGCAAAGTTCAAAAGCCCTACACGGCAAAAAAAGGAGGGTAACAACGGTTCTCGATCGTACATTCGCCGTCGTCGACGGAAAAAAAACTTCCAACTTTTTCCCATACATAGCGTGCTTATTATTCTCCCGACCAGAAATGTTCGCAGCAAAACATTTGCCGTTTCCAAACGAAAAAATTTGCGTCCCTTTTGTAAATCCATATATCCGAAAAAAAACATAACAAATACGTAACATAACGTGATATAGCAGTGAGAGTGAAAAAGAAGAGCTATATTGGCGTTGATATCGCCTTAATGAGGAGTCAAAGAGATAGTTAATGGAGGTCAAGCGAGAAAGAGAGGAAGCAAAAAAGAGCAATATTCAGATGCGAAGAACGCACGTACACACGCGAAAAATGATGTATGAATGAGCATATATCAGATATCTGACCACACTTCCCTTTTATATGTGCCTGGACGATATTTGTCGCATTTTTCAAATACTGGAAGTTACAACCAGCGCGCGGCGATGGATTCCCTTGACGAATTCTCTAAGCAATTACACGTTTTACCTACTGGTATTGCGTTATTAATGTTTCGCATTCTGACTTATATTGTACGTAGCAGAAATGTGCTTATGTGCGCGTGGATCAATGGATTTTAAGGTGGAATTCATACGTGTAGTGATCGTTGAATTTATGGCTATTTGGATTATTACGATGAGAATCGATAATAATAAAGTATTTTTATTCTTAAATTAGGTAACAATTAATTAGTTTTAATTCATTTCCGATTTTATGAAAATATTGGGCAAAGCCAATGCATTTTTCTACGTGAAAATGATTTCAGAAATAAATACACAGACATTTTACGTGCTATATACTCGCTCGAAATAAAACTCGTTACTAACACCTAAATTAAAAACCAAAATGAATTTTCGAGAAAGTTTTATAAATACATCATTCGTAGTACACTGCAACTGGAAAAATCACTCGATACACACAATAATCCCTTTACCAACAAAAAAAGTGAGAGAGACTCCGAAATTTTTAACAGAGCCATCGAAGCAGCAACATGGAAAAAAGGAGAGAGAAAGCGTTGAGCTGGGCGAATGAGTGGAAGTATAGTGTGTGTGAGAGGCCAGGAAGAGCGAGATAACTGCAAAATAGAAGATTCGATTGCACGTCACGAGCAGCCCTCGGAGCCTATTTCGTGGTAATCGGTTTTTCATTACCGGAAGCCCAACCGAGCCAATGCTTTATTCTTCGGCGAATATCTCCAATTTTATATATATATATATATACTTTTTCATTTTTTCTCCCTTAACTTGCTCTTTTTTTATTATTTCGTCTTTCGTCGCGCGAACGCTTCGTCCTTTAAGTGTGTACAGAGTAGCTTTATACGGTAGGTTGCTGCTGCTGTTGCGATAATTGGACAATTTTTCAAGAAGCCTTTTCCAAAGCTCCGATCTGTACTTGAACAAATTGAGTTTTGATGGAGAACTCAAACGATTTTTTTATTTGCGAATTGGAATGGAATTCTCGTTGCTATTTTAGAGAGTACTGTTAAATTGATGGACCTGTTTTTTTTAAATTAAAGATGAATAAAATCCTAATCAAGAGTGACGAAATAGGACTGAGATTTGGCTTCCAATTAAGAGATTCTTGTACTGAAGAAAAATTTTAATTTTTTATGTTACATTATTGACAAAGTACAAGAATTAAGTAAACACTTTATTCATTCAGACATTTAAAAATGATATTTTTCTATAATACTGTTGCAAAGCACTTTATTATGCAAACAAAAAAACGAAACTTTCATACTAATATATGATGATATATATATATTCAAAAATAATTAAAATATTGTTTATATTACTTTTATACCGCATTTATTTCAGTTTTGGTAAAAAATATTTACATCTCTAACGTCAAAATACTGTTTGTACGTATAGAAATAGATTCATGACCTTGCGTATGCATTAGATGTTTATAACTTTGTGAATCATTCTAAATAAACTTGGTAATCTGCACTGTTATTCAAAGCATTAGCATATTATTTTCCTCATCTGTTGTTCATAAAGCATTTTACTACGCCTTTCACCTCAGCTTTTACTATTACGTTATTACAATAGATTTTACTTTGTTGGTCTATTTCAATGAATTTCAAGATTAATTCCGTATTTATTAAAGCAATTATGCAAACAATTTTTTTTTTGTATATTTCTTATTTTTTCTTTATAGCTTTACAAAATACATCTGATATAGAGGAAATTTAATCAGAAAGTAAGAATTCATAATGTATGTTTTTCCATTTTACTTTGTACTAGTTTCTGCTTTATCGATGTTTTATAAATATATCTGTAATTAATAGAATTTTTTATTCAAATTTTCAATTATTTAATATTTATGACATACTGTCTATCTCACGTAATTATACACAGTAGATTAAGATAATAGTCCGCAAATATTCAAACTCATTCTATAGCTTTTATTTTTTTACGTTCCCACGACTAAAATTCATTTTATTTTTCATATTATTTTCATTATTTCGTTCATAAACTACTCAATTTAAAGGCAGAAAATAGTTACTTGAAAATGCGATAAATATAAGTGTGTATATAAATGCACTGCATCATACATTGAAACAAAAGCATCGCTTGTATGTAATATAAAATATTTTTTTTAATCTGCTCGAGTTATGCGCCATACCTCTAGGCGGGGATATATAACACACTAATCAAAATTTTAATGTATATATGTGGCCATCTACCAGCGTTACATAGATACAATACAATTAAGTTGTTTAAATCGGTAATAAATGAAGTCATCTTAACCCGTTTTCAGTTTTCAATGGGTTTTCTTTTGGCGAGTAGTACCTATTCGTTTTTTCTTATGACGACCAAAAATAAAAACCATACGATCGAGCCAATTCGGGTACAAAATTTAATTATTTCCCAAATAAACGTCACATGGTAAGCTTTGTTTTAATTTGAACCACTCGACAATTAAATTTTAATAATTTATATCCCTCGAGAAAACAGACAAAACGCGAAAATAATAGGATTGCTCCTAGCACGAAAACATAAGATTTACTTGAAAAAAAATATAGGCAATTTTTTTTAATTTGTAAATTCAAAAATATCAATTTCTTCGTTTTTAGCCTCCGTGAAGTTTCGGAAAAATGAGATTTTCCAGGTTATGCGGTGAAAAATCTTGATTCTGGCATGCATGAACATATTTTATTTTGACGTAAAAAATCAATAACTTTGATTTAATGTATGCATCTGAAAACTACAAATTTTTCTTTTTTACCCCTATACAAAAAAATACCTATACCGGAAAATTGCAGTTTTCTCTATCAACTCTATTGCTACAGTCTCTCTCTCTCTCTTTCTCTGAATGACTACCAACTTTCGCTCGCCAACTTTGAGGATAGTAATAAAGTTGATAGAGATAATTGCAATTTTCCGATTTGTATAAGGGTAAAAATGAGAAATTTGTAGTTTTCGGATGTTATAAAATAATTGAAGCCATTCGCTTGATTTATTACGTCAAAATCGAGTATTCATGATATTATCAAGTTTTCCATTGCACATGCGCAGAAGGTACGTATGTATGAACGACTGAGTTGATCTGTAAAATCTCATTTTTCTCAAATTTTCATATGGTACAAATAGAAAAATTAATACTTTCGAATGGTACAAACTAAAAGAAAATTGTCTGTATTATTTTAAAGAAAATCTTATTTGTTCGTGCTAGGAGCATAGGTTTTCCTACATCCTATTATTTTCGCTTTTTTTCCGTTTTCGCAAGGGGTGCAAATTATTTAAATTTTATTTTCGGATGGTACAAATTAAGATAAAGCTAATCATGTGCTATTTATTTGAAAAATAATTCGTTTTTGTGCCAAAAGCGGCTTGATAACTATACTTGTGTGTCATCGCGAACAGCTGTTTAAAGCGCTTGTGTACTCATTTTTCTACGCATTCTGAATTATGACTTCAGTCAAGTTGGTTACTCCGTCGTTACAGCTAATATGAGTAGAGGCATCCCAAATTTTAGTAGCGTATATACCTATAGTGTGTTTTATTCGTCTTATTTTTGTGTAAAAAAATGTCAACTTTTCAGAATTGTTAGTACTGATAATCCATAGTTCTAACGCGAAAAGACTCTGACATATATCTATTTCTTGTTTTAAGTGTAGACTGATAATATTTAAAAATGTCTTCTCCAGATAGTGATGAAGTAGTGAAACAACCAATAAAGCGTTTAGAAATTCCCATATGCAAATTTAACGATGTTGCTATTCCACACCATCTTGATCTTCTCAAGAAACACAAGGCTAATATAAAGAAAGTGAGTAAAATTAGTGCGTTTATTGATTTAATAAAGTCTATTCTGTAAATATTAGTTTCAAGGCCTACGAGACTGGAATAGAGTCTATACAGAGCAAATAAATGCATCCAGAGTAGTTAAACAGTTAAAACAGTTATTATATGAAATGGATACACTCAGAGGACAAGTACTTCATAGTGAAATTGCTTTGTTTGACAAGCTGACAACAAAGTCAAGAACAAGTACATTGAATGCAATCAAAGAATATTTAGGTACAATAAAAATAATTATTGAGCAGAGAAAATGTAATATCTTATGAAAATCATTAATATTCTTTATTGTTGAATAGATTTTGAATTAAATTTACCACTTGTTCAATGCCCACCTCCCAAAGTAGAAGATGAAATAGCTGAAAGTCCATATGATAATCGATATATGCAAGTTCAAGCTGAAAATGAAGAATTAGAAAGACAACAAGCTTGTTTGCGAGCTTGGACTACATTACACAATGATCTTGAACAATTACAGCAACTGTTTATTGATTTCAACAAAATTGTTCATGTAAGGAATATTTATTAAATTTTACAACATGGTATTTACAAACTATATACTTCAGGAAGATGCTGAATCAATTGATAGAATTGAAAGTAATATTGAAGTTACTCAAGTTCATGTTCAAGCAGGGACAAAACTTCTGCAACAGGCCTCAAAATTGAAAATGGCAGGATATCCATTAGCTGGAGCTTTACTTGGGACTTGTCTAGGAGGACCAGTTGGATTAATCGCTGGCCTTAAACTTGGTGGTCTGACAGCTTTAGGTGGAGGGCTCTTGGGTAAATTTTTTAATGAATATTTGAGAAACATATATAGAAAGGAAAGATAAATTTATTAATTTAACTATCTTAATATTGTGTCAGGATTTACTGGTGGTACAATATTGAAAAAGACATGCCATATAGACTCAGAACTAAAACAAATAAAAGGCCCTCAAGATGAAAGCATACAAAATAGTACTTCAATAAGAAATATAAGTGATTCTGAGAGTAAAAAGGACTTATGACATCCAAAGAATGTAATAAAACTTGAAAAGCAAAGAGAATGCATTGTATTTTAGTTCTGAGAGTTCATAAGTTTTGCTGAAAGAGTTATATATGTTTTATTGATAGTTTGTAAATCATATATATTAAAAATATCATTTACTGATTATGAAGAAACAAAATCTAAATAATGTAAATTAGGCTGAAACGACTGTGATTTTACAATTAAAAAATTATACGTCTGTACGTTTTACAGTTAGTAAATTATGACATAAACGGTTACTAGACATATATAAATGGAGGAGATAAAAATCTTGTAAATTATTTTAAAAATTTATCTATATATTGACCGTAATGATGTATGTTTTAGTAAATAAGCCTATAAACTATTTCCTAAATTAATTTGAATAAATTAATCATTTTTAAAACTTTGAAAAGATGATTGTAAATATTTTATTTATATAACCAACAGGCTGAATTCACAAAAATTCAACCTTGAGACGTAATGACGTTTGTATTTCCCACGTGCAGCACTAGGCCGAGCTAACAAAACAAGGCCAATGGCACACTTCAGCTTATATATTTCTGGCTAGTTTCAGTTCAGTAGTTTCTCCGTGGTATATAGTTACCATGGAAACAGCTTGATGGCCACAAATGTATAGAAGACTAAGTGCACTGCTGGCCAACCTCTTTTCCTTAGCTATAAGACTCTGATTACAAAGCGCGTATGCGAGCGTATATCCATTGTAACCATTTCTGCTTAAATCATAAGCCTTGCATCTTGACGGATGAAAACTGTGATCCAACTTCGGTCGGTTACAATAGTGCTCAAATGATTTAGCTCATTTTCAATTTTAAATTTCCCGGGTCATGAATTAACCCACGCCTTCTGTACAAGTGTACACATACGGAAGTTACTAGAAAATATAGTGCAGCCAAGTGCCGAATTCCGATTAACAATATACAATATCATTACTTATTCGGAGGTAGTTGCTTTTAAAAAAAGAAAATACTGGAGACCATGAATAATCATATACAAGTTGAGGCTATGATTATATTGTGATGTAATCGTTTGCTCTAACTACTTTTGTTCATCCAAATTCGACAGTTGGCTGCACTACATTTACAGAGTCAATAGCGTCACTGTATGCCCTGTGTTTGTTTTATCTCTGTCATTTTTTACACGCTCATGGTTTAAAGCGTCACTCAAAACAAGCGCTTCAGTCAGAATCAGAAGCATATCCGGCGTTAAAGCATCATCAAGCCGAGCCTAATTTTTATTGCATTTTTCCATTTTATTTATTAATAGTTTTATAAAAAACAATGGGTAAAAAAGATAAAAAGAAGAAGGGCAGTGGAATTGAAAAAACTGCAAAGAAAACCGAAAAAAAATTAAATGCAAAACAAAAAAAAGAGTTGGCTGCCCTCGGTGAGGTTAGAATACTAATTTTATAAGTCCGAATTTTTCAAGTGAGTATTGTTAACATTATTTTTAACGAAATATTTATTGTTTAGGACGACATTGAAAAAGTTGTGGCACAAATTGAAAAAGAAGAAGCTCGCCGACAAAAAGTTATTGAAGCTATTGTTGGTCCACCATCTCGCAGAGTTAATTTTACTCTGACTCCTCATCCTTATAAAAATGAACTTATTATGTTTGGTGGTGAATTTTATGATGGTCAGAAAACAGTCGTTTATGGTGATATGCTTTTTTACAATATTAGCAAAAATGAGTGGACTGTTATTAAAGCACCTGGTGCTCCACCTCCAAGATGTGGACACCAAGCTATAGCTACACAAACAAATAAAGGTGAACTATGGATTTTCGGAGGAGAATTTTCTAGCCCATCTGAGTCACAATTTTATCATTACAAAGATCTCTGGGTGTTCCACATTGGAGATAAAAAATGGGAAAAAATAACGTAAGAATATAAACTTTTTTTGTTGGTTATTTAATTTAAAAAAAGATTATAAATCAATAATATAAAATGATATAGAGTTCCTGGAGGACCTTCAGCTAGAAGTGGCCACAGAATGATTAATATTAAAAAGAATTTGTACATATTCGGAGGTTTCCATGATAACTTGAGGGATTACAAATACTATAATGATGTTCATGTATTTAATATGGAAACTTATACTTGGAGCAAAATAGAAACATCAGGTATATTTTAAAAACAATCTTCAAGTGGAAATAATAGAATATGTTGAATTAATATGATTTTTTTGTAGGACATCTACCAGCTCCAAGATCAGGTTGCATAATATTGCCTACACCAGAAAATAAAATTCTTGTTTATGGTGGTTATAGTAAAGAAAAAATAAGAAAAGATGTTGATAAGGGTCAAGTTCATACAGATATGTTCCTCCTTAGCCCAGAGAGTAAGATATTACTGTTTTATATCTAAAAATAATTAAAAATTTGTTATAATATAAATATTATTTTTTGTAGAAAATGATCAAACTGGTTTGAAGTGGAAATGGTCAATTGTAAAACAAAGTGGGATAACTATTTCACCCCGTTGTAGTGCATCAGCTATTCTTGTTCAACCGCATTTAGCTTATATGTTTGGGGGTGTTTATGATGAGGAGGATAACGATGAAGAGCTCTATGGTCATTTCTTTAATGATCTTGTAGCACTTAATTTGAATAAACTTCAATGGCATAGTGGTAAATATATTTGAATCAATGTATATATTCAAATCCCTTTATATTTCTCAATAAAACTATTTTACAGTAAATTTGAAGGGGAAGAGTGATAATGTTGTAAAAACGAGTCGAAGAAAAGCTAAAGTTGATGAAGAAGAAGAAAGCATGGATGAAAATGACGATAATGAAGACAATAAAGAAGAACCGACGAAGACCACTATTTCAAAAACTGTAATAACAGATGACGACGGAATTTTCACGGTACTACTTAAAATATTTCTTATAAATATTTGATTTCTTTTGCAATATATTTTTTATGTATAAAGTTGAATTCATTTTTTTTATTAGGTCACACTTGGACCTGCATCTGTAGCTAATAAAGTGATCACACCTGATGAACAAACTGTAGAAATTTTTACACCATCACCAAGAATCAATCCAGGCTTAGCTGTCAAATATAACACTCTTTATTTATATGGAGGAATGTTTGAAGACGGTGACAAGCAATACACTTTAAATGATTTTTATAGTTTAGGTAAAGTTTCTGCTATTAATTTTATATACATATTTTTATTTCATATCTTAAAAATATTTGTTATCTTTCAGATTGCAAAAAGTTAGACGAATGGGTAACAATAACTAAAAATGATTTATCAAGTCAAGAATGGTTAGAATCTGGTACCTCTGAATCAGAATCTGAAAGCGATAGCGAGGAAGATAATGGTAAGGATGATGATAACAATGAAGAGGAAATGGAGGTCGACGACAATTAATGTAATAAGCAACAAACATTTGTAAATTTTTTGTTATAAAAAAAACTATTTACAATAAGTATATCTACGTTATACACGACAATGTAATATTTTCGTTATCACAAAGATGTTAATAATCTTTTTAATTCTCCTTGTAGTTGATAAATCTGTAAAAAATATGTTAGAAATATTTAAATGTAAATAATTTTTATTAATTAAAAATGTTCATCGAAAATTTTACCTGTTTGTCGTGTAATACTTTATCCTCTTCCGATATCGTCTCGTAGTTCTTTCTAGATTTTACTTTCATCAATGAATTTAATTTTTTTTGTATAGATAACTTTTTATTTTCAAGCAACTTGTTTGCTTCATGTAGAACATTCCCGTCGTTAATTACAACATAAATAGAGCAATTTTTATCCGTGGTGCTGCAAAAAGTATTGCTACTCTTTACATAATCTTCAGTTGTGAAAATTTCGACATGATTCAGTTTTAATAATGCACGTACGATATTGATATTGTATTCGTATAATTTCTTTTCTTCAGAATTATTTAAAGCAATATGAACTAGAAAAAAATTTTCATTATTTCTTAATGTATAAAAATACTAGAGCCGTAGTTTTTACACTAATATTATACAAAAATTTACCTTCAACAATATCACGTTTATTCTTAATCTCTGTTAATATGCTTACTAAACTTCTTATGGAAATAATAGTATTTAAAAGTTCACTCATTTGCTTTTCCAAATCGACATTACGCAAATTTTGTAGCTCTTTTACGCTTGGATATAAACTCTCAAGTAATGAATCACACTGTTTAAACACTGATAATTTTCTGGATAACCGAGAGTATAAATCATCGCTCAAATAAGGAGTGATCGGGGCCAGTATTCTAAGTGAAACCTCCATACACTTTGTTAATGTGTATCTATGACTATTTATTATATCTAGCTGTTCAGATTGAAAACCTGGCTTCGTTCCTTCCTACAAAGAAAATTGAATAAATATTTATACTAAATGTTTGTCAAAAAATATGCGGTAAACTTACGATATAGTAGTCACAAAATTCGTAGTACAAAAACTCTTTTATTGCTGCCACTACTTTGTGAAAATTTTTTCGTTCAAGCTCTTTATTTACAGTATCTACCATTAACGTCAATCGACTCAAAATCCACTGATCTATCATTGTAAACGTTTCTGGCATTTCAATGACATTATCGCTTGTCATAAGTACAATATACCGACTCGCTTGCCAAATTTTATTACAAAAGAATTTGTTTTGTTCACATTCTACTATGTCAAACGATACTGTACGCTCTAGAATAACAATTAATATACAGTATACAAAAGATAGTGAAAGGAATATGAGATCTTTACCTTTAATGTTATGAGAACATAAAGTGAAGCGCAAAGCATCTACTCCACATTCTGGTATACCCTTTGGAAATATTTTTTTGTTCATCTGTATCGTTCTTTTGAGCTCAGTCTGGCTCAAAATACCTTCTTCAAAGCTCTTTGTTGCTTGATTATTCAAATTCTATGAGAAACAGTTGATGTGAAGAGACTATATTTCATTTATTTTAAAAATTAAAAATAAATACCTCTAATGAAATTCCATGTAAAATGTTTTCCGGATGAATGACATTTCCGCGGCTTTTCGACATTTTCTTTCCTTGAGTATCACACAAAATTCCGTGTAATAGAACATCCTAATTAAAAAAAGTATGTAATTTAGTAAAAAAAGTGCACAAATTTTACAGATACTTACATTGAAGGGCAGTTTGTTAGTCAATTCAAGACCTAACATTGCCATTCTAGCAATCCAAAAGAATAAAATATCATTTCCCGTTTCCATCAAACTTAATGGGTAAAAATTGTTAAATTCTCTTTCCTGGAAACATGGAATTTTTTTATACATAATTGTAAATTAAAAATGGTTAATTATGAAAAATCACGCACATTAGTTAACCACCCCATGGCAGAAAGTGGTAACAGAGACGAAGAAAACCAAGTGTCGAGAACATCATTATCCTGATGAATATCAGTGGCAGTGTCATACTGTTTTTTAATTATATTTAAAGCTTCTTTTTGAGATGTAGCAAGTACCCATTTGCTTTCATTGTCAATTTTAAAATGATAAGCTGGTATTTGATGACCCCACCATAATTGCCTTGATACACACCAGTCTCTAAAAATAATTGGAACAATTAAAGTCATAAATAATTTTATTGAATCTAATTCAATGTTAGCCTTTACTTATTATTGCTGAGCCAATTAATCCAAGTTTTATTGTGAAACACTGGATCAAGTTTTAAAGAACCATCCTCAATAGCTTTTAAAGCCTTTAAAGACATGTCTTTACAATTAATAAACCATTGCTCTTGCAATAATAATTCAATTATATCTCCTGTTCTAGAGCATCTAGGAATATACATTGCATGGTCATTTACTGTGACTAATGAACCCATATTAGCCAAATCTTTCAGAATCTGTTGCCTTGCATAAAATCTAGGCATTCCCTGCACATTTAAGAATCAGATTATATATTTATCCAACTACAAATCATTCTAAATTGTAATACTTACTACATACCGGTCAGTTCTTGCACTTAGCCTACCGTTTTTTTCAATAACTGTTATTAATTCCAAGTTATGCTTATTGGCTACAGCATAATCAAAATGATCATGTGCTGGAGTAATTTTAACTATACCTAAACAGAATTATAGTTAAATATCATATTACAGCAATATAAATATTGTAATATGATAGTGAAATTATGAATCAACCTGTACCAAAGTCCATTTTTACATTTGGATCAGATAAAATTGGGATATGAGCATCTGACAATGGGTGTTTAACTTTTTTACCAATATACTGACTGTAACGACTGTCATCTGGATTAACAGCAAGAGCAACATCACCTGGTAGAGTTTCTGGTCTGGTTGTTGCCACATTTAATTTTTTATCTATGCCATTATAAATATGTAATTCAAGAAATCAATTCTGAAATTACTCAGAAAATTTTCTTTAAATTTTTATTTACCTGAATCTACCAAATTGTAAGAAATTTCAAATATTTGACCAAATGTAATTCTTTTGCTATAGCCAGGTACTTCAAGATCTGTTTTTCCTCTTAAAGCTTCAAAATCTACTTCAATATCAGATATAGTACTACCCAATGCAGTAGACCAATTAATTAAACGTTTATTTCTATACAACAATTGTTTTTTGTGTAATTCAATAAATGCATGTGTGACAATTTTATTATGATTCTACAAAATTAAACATATTTTCATTACATAATATAAATATAATATAAATTTTACTAAGTTTTGCTTTTTCAATAATACCTCACTGATTGTAAAATATTCTCTGGACCAATCTAAGCTTGCTCCTAAAGCTTTCAACTGATCACTGATAATTGATCTTTTTTCAACTGTCCATTGATTGATAGCTTTTAAAAAATCTTCTTTGGATATATTATTTCGTTTGATATTTTTAGTTTTTTGCAAATACTTTTCAACTACAGTTTGAGTAGCAATTCCAGCATGATCAAATCCAGGTATCCAAACAACAGAATACCCTCTCATTTTATGCCTACAAATTTGCATATTGATTGTTTGGAACTACAGAACAATTACATATAGTACTGATCCTGTTTACCATCTTGCCAGAACATCTTGTACCGTTGTTGTTAAAGCATGACCTAAATGTAGTGTTCCAGTAACATTTGGTGGTGGCAATATCATTTTATAAATTGGCTTGTCATTGTCATCTTCTGGTTGAAAATATTTATTTTTTTCCCATATTTCATACCATCCTTTTTTAACATTATTCAAATCATAAGTTTTTGGAAAATCTAAAAAATATTATTTATCATTTAATATTGTCATTTAAGAAAGATTATTTAAAATTATTATTATTTAAGATTATCATTTAAAAAAGATTTTCATTTAAGACAACAAGTATGCTGTTTTCTTTCAAATATACATTACAAATAAGAAATTTGCATTACAAATAGAAAGAAAATAGAAAAGGTTATAATATTACCTGCTACACGCTCATTTAAGTAAATTTTATGGCACTTTCTATTGATAATTTTAATATTTACAAATCCACGTACTTGATGCAGATACATTATGTTTAGCTCAACTTAAGAATGATATTCATATATTATTAATTAGTGTTAACAATCAATCTTATTTTATAACATTTTTATTTTGAAAAGCCGATAACGTGAATTGGTTCTCGTTTAGTTGCAGACGATATATTTATTTTTTTATATTATATTATACAAATGCGAACGCTCTACATCTCTACATCCTACATGCATTCGCTCTTCTACACCATTAACGTCAGACATAACCTATCCAAGCGTAGTCGTAATTTACAAAAAGAATCGTGAGGGATATATATTACATGTATTACATAAACAATTTAAATATTTCAGAACAATTATGGTGTATTTACATTTTCCGTCAAATTTAACAGAAGAAGAGCTGATGCTTCAAGCAAAATATAATAAATTGAAAAGAAAGGTAATTGTAACGAACATTAAATTGCTATTTTTATTTTGACTACAAAGCTTTAGGTTATGATCATTTGCTTACATTTTTTTTATTTAAATTTAAATTGTTTTTTAATAAATTTGATATTTATGAAAGCTGTGATAACTTTATGTATCGTCTTTTTACAAAATTCCACTTTTTTACCAATTCCTACTCAAATATGTTAACAGAAATATTGATTTTTACTAATTAATTGTTTATTTATTTCTCTAGAAAAAAGCCTTGCAAGACCTGAAAACACCCAAGCCTGAACCAGAACGCGCTCCACAAGCACCAAAACGTCCCACAGAAGCCAGAGATGCTCGAGAGGTAGCCAAAAAGTTAATAAAGTCAGGTGTTATTACTGCTCCTAAAACTCCAAAACGACCAGAGCAATCCTTCAAAAGACCTCGTGGTTTGGAAAGGAAATTAAATAGTACAGAGAAAACAGTATCATCTTATCAACCTTTCTCAGCAACACAATCTGAAGAAGAAGAACCTGAAACAAAAAGGCCAAAAGTGAAAGGATTATATGACAGTTTTGTTTCAGCTACTGATCCAGAAGATAGAGTTGTTGAAAAGGCAATATCCAAATTAGAAACAAAAACTCCAAAAGGAAATACAATTTTTGTTTCTGGATACAAAATTTCAGAAGATTTTCTAAAAAAACATTTTTCAGCATTTGGTAATATACTAAAAATTTCCATGGAAGCTGAGAAAAAGTAAGTTACATTTTATTAAAACATTACTCTAAGCATCAAGTGATGATTTTAATTTTTTTTATTATAATTTAAAATAGAGGATTCATTACTTTTGAAAAGCCTGAATCGGCTGAACGAGCAATAAGTGAAATGGATGGAATCATGGCTTCTTCAATACAACTTAAAGTTTCTATGGCAAGGAGGCAACCTGTAGTTGACCCAATTAATGATACTACATCAAGTTCTATGTGGTCATCACTAGCTGCAAGTTATACTCAGAAGAGTGCTCACAAAGATAAACGTGATATAAAAGTTTATGAAGATGATCTCTTTCAATAATTTATGCATTGTCAACATTGCTTTATTATATTTATTTATTTCATTGTAGTATGAAATAATTTATATAGCTAAAGTGATTTAGTGTCCAATAAATACGCAGGTTTATTATGCAATGCAAATTAAGTAAAGTAAAAATATTTAAAAATAGATATCACCATAATGTATTTGTTCATCAATTTTGTCTTACTTCCATGTCAGGTTCTAATTCACCTTATCTTAGAAATTTTTTATATGCACATATGTATCTTTCCAAGTGATAATAGAAAAAGGTCTTTTCTTTACCTAATAATATGAGGTGTTATTACATATAAATAATTTAATTTTGTTTTTAAAAATAAGTGGAATTGGGAATCTGAATTGTAGTTAATATTTATATGAAGAATGTTTTGTATACAAATTCAAATTCTTTAACTTTGAACTTTTTTCTTCTAATTTATATTCATGTTCAGCTGTAGATTAAGTTTATTTGATTTAAGTTACGTTTAGCTTACGTGTAAAGTCAAATCTAGTATCAATTTCAATTTTTTTCGTTTGTCAAATGCAAACACTTTTTGATAATTTTTCATTATTTTATATAGTTATGACATGTATTTGTCACGAAACTCCTTTTATTGATACTTATATATTATTTATTTACCAAAATATTACGGCTCGAATAAATAGGTAGTATTTATTCAAGATTAAATTGTAAATCTACTAAGACTAATTTCCTTTATTTGGCGCTTTACAAAATTGCAAAAAATTGTAATAATACCAGCGAATTACGATATATTAATATAATGTTTCCTACGTAACTTTTCACGGGTAAAGAAATTCATTGTTGATTTCTTTTTTTATAATATAAATTTTCATAAGAAAACGTATAAAATATAAAATAAATAAAATGCAATTATATTTCTCCTTAACATTTGGTTTTTATTTCATTTACGTTAAGTAGTGCATATCCAATAGTGTATATTTAATTTTAATGATTGCGATAAAATATATGTTGTCATGTTTACGCAGTAAATAAGGTAAATAATATTTATAATCATTTTTGAATGGGATTTTAGATATTTATGTTATGAGAATTAATTGAAATCAAACATTATAAGTATTCATGATGAGTATTTGTCTGCAATGGAATCATTGCAACTAGTAAGTAACTCACCTTGCAATACCTTTGAACTTCGAATACCCTCTTAAGCGCAAGGGATTGAGGATAAGTCATTTAAGAGACAATAGTTAACAGTGGACAGTGCACGGATGAAAAAGTAAGTTTATCCTAGTGTTAATTGACAGTGTTTCTCTGTTTGTTTGAATTCCACTGTCTTGTGTAATCTTGTATCCAGTGTTATATATTCTTTAGAAAATATAAAACAATCACGGTGTATTTATACTTTACGTCTAATCAAACACAGGAGGAGTTTATGCTTCGAGCACATTATGTTGTGTTGTAAAGAAAGGTAATGTATTTTTTTTTGAATTTAGCACCATTGGTAATTCTTTTCAAATGTATAATTGCCTTACTGCATTTTATTTGAAATTTACCTCAAATAAAAATAAAAGCAGCCCAAATGTAATTTCTAATACCTATATAATTTACTAGAAAAAGGTGTTGCAAGACTTAACACAATCTAAACTAGATCACGCTCAACAAGTAAAAAAATCTAAAGGATTAACTAATTCGTAAAATGCCCGTAAATCAGTTCAGATATTGGTAAAGACAGGTATTACTTCTGTGATAAAAATTTCAAAACGTCCTGAAGAATCATTCAAAAGATTAGAAGGTCCGAAAAGAAAAGTGAAAAATACGGAAAACAATCCTACTTATCAGCTATTCTCAGCAATTTAAAAACACGTAGAAGAATTTGAAACATAGAGACTAAACTTAAAAAAAATTATATGAGAACTTTAAGGAATTTACTGACTCTGCGGAGAAAGGAGTTAAAAAGTTAGGATTCAAACTGATAAGAAAGCAGTGAAAAGGCAATATAATCTTCAGGTGAATACAAAATGTCAAAGAAATTTTTGAAATAACATTTTTCTATGTACTGCAATAGAAAGTGAAAAAAAATAAATTTGTAGAAAATCAAAATTAGTATGAGTAAAAATATGCAAATATATTATTTTCAACCGAGGCTTCATTAAGTTCGAGAAATCAACGTCAGCTGACAAGGCTATAAATGAAATAGACGGAGCCACGGTTATATTGAATTTACTGTAAATTTCCATGTTAAGAAGACAAATTATGTTTCATCCAGCGGAAATATAAAAAAAGCAAAAAATAAACGCGATTGAAAAGTTTATGATGACAACACTTTCAATCAGTGATTCTACATTGTAAAAGGTGTATTAATTCTACTATGATCGAGTAATCAAAATTCCAAATAAAATTAAAATCATGTAATAGAATATTAATTTGAATAAATACATATTTACAAATATGATGTACAAATTGTAAAAGATAAATAAATTTATGTATTTCCTGTTATCGATGATATTCATTCCATTCAGTTACAGAATAGAATAATAACAATACATAATAATTTTTTCTAAAATTTTATTAAATTAAAATTCTGAAAATATATTTAAAATTATTTTATTTTACCTCGTTGTCATTCGAATTCCGCCTGATTTTCAAAATACTTGTCTTATATTAAGTTTTTGTTGTATGTGCATGTGTTTATTCGGCATAATGTGGAGTATGAAACCCGACGTTTTTTATTTTTGCAGTTTATAATGTATTTTTCAATGGGATCTGAAAAAATAAATAAACCAAATATTTGTTTTTAAAATCTTCCAAAAAGTTTTTATAATCGATTTATTAAAGTTCCCTTTTCTTTTTTGTTCAACATGATATTTCAACAACAACTGTCATATAATTCTTCGATAACAATAACGCATGTATAAATCTATGAATTTTTTGGTATACAAAAACAAAGTTAAACATAAATACAATAATAACGCATCGACACATAGTAGTCATTTTAAAATTTTCATGAAATACGTCTTTGTAGATTTTTTCGATCCTTCGAGTTACACATAGATTGTCGCATGCGTGAAATTTATGCTATGACTAAACTAAATCAATTATTTAATGGGATTGTCAGGATAATATGCACAAATGGACATTGCTTTGAGGTGAAAACATTTTAGTATCGTTCGGGGAGCTTATGCATGACATATGCTCGACTACTTTACTTTATATCCACTTTTAGAGTACAATGCACATATTGATATAATTTAGTTTGCTAAAATGAACGGTGCTCATCGAGAAAAAATGGAAACAGTTAAAGTCTTCTTTACACTAAATGACTCAAAGGATCGAACAAAAGGTGAAGTGTCGTTCGAACGCGATGAAAAATACTTACAATCGACGTACGAAATTTATTCTGGACCTCATTGAGGCGGATTGAAGTAGTCCCAGTGATGATGATGCGTGACAGTCCTGGGCATGCAGATAATAAAGACGATAAGTCCAGCAATCAAAATGAGAAGTGCGCAGACAGCCAATTCTACTCGTCGTAATTTTTCGTCGGGGATGTGGACCTGCTGCGACTCTGCAGACGTCGCTGCATCATGGGGGTGAGCTGTTGAATCGGCGAATCTAGAAACTACAGAATCGACAAAATTCCTGAGTGAACGGCTTCCTGCCTGGCTGAGTGCCCTGAACAGCTGGCCGGTCATTTCGGTGATACTTGGTTCTATCTGATCACTGCCGATAGCTCTCGGAGGAGAAGGAGGACTACTCGCCAGGCTGAAGAACTCCGATGGGATTTGTGATGTGGAAAATGCTATGAATTGTGTATTCGTAGGCAACTGTTGTGACTGTTTCGTTGTAGGTGGTAGTGATGGTGGTGGTGATGGGGATGACGTATCGCGTGATGGTGGGTTTTGGCGATGATGATAATTAGGCAAGTCGTCCTCGTCGGAGCCGCGGTACGATATAACAGCACGTTGTGGCTGCGCTCCGTTCGACTCTTGTGCGTGTCTTAGTGACTCCGAGGTGGTTACGGTGTTGTTGTTCATTGGTAGTGACGTTATGGCGTCGGGCGTCACCGATATCACCGGTGGTAACGACTTTACCGGGCTGGCTGTCTGGCGTACTGCTCCTGACGGCACTCGCGTTGGTGATGCTGAGCGTGATCTTGACCTTGCTGTTGCCATTTTTGTTGACGTTGTTAACGCGACGAGTGATTCGGTGGAGTTTGTTATTGCTGTTGTTGACTCCTCAGTTGAGAGTTCTGTGCTGATTATTGTTACTTCATCAAGAGCCTGATATAGAAAAAGAGCAAGTTTGAGATTTTCGAAAAGAATGAATCAACCACAAGCTGGAGCTTATCCGCTGAAGTTTGCAAGTAAAATATTGATTTCTATACATTATTTTCGTCATTTGTATAATAAATTTACCGTGTTCATTAATTCGTCTATTGCCTTCGTATTCTTATCAATTTGTATTAAATGAAAAATAATAACGATTTCGTCCTTCAGAAATATTTAAAAAGAAATTATTTAATTCTCACCTCCACTGGCTCCACTGGAATAACAGTCACAACGTTCTCGCTGACAGTAATACTATCCGACCCCGTGGATGGGAGATCACTAGTGGAACTCGAATGTGGCAATAATGTCCGACCTTTATCACCAGTAGCTTCTAATTCCGCAGGCGGTGATGCTACAACTAGTAGCGGTGAACTCTCCCTCGTAATTATACGTCTCTCCGTCGTCGATCTCCTGTCTATATCAAATGGAAGATCAATGCGTTCGTTGCTCGTTGCAGTACTCGCATCTTCCATTGCACTTTGCGGTCTTGATTGTGGTTGAGATGCTACTACAGCCTCTGCAATATACATACATTTATTTTGTATTCGTCGATTTTAGATTGAATCCCAAGATCCTTTTTACTCACGTAGTTGATTTCTAATAGCTATAAGTTCCTGCAACAACGACGGATGGAGGCTTTCAGTCTCAGTTTTACCGGTCATTTCCGTAGCCGACACGACTATCGCGTCTATCTCTGAAGCTGCGACTTTGTAAGCCTCAAGTTGTGAGACTGTTAACCTGTCGACTTTCAAATCGCCCACTTCCAGGTGTGGTATCCTTAGAGGCTCGTCTGTTGAAAACAATGCCGTGCGTAACATTTCCAATTGTGACAAATCTATCACTCGCTTGCTATCGTCGGAGGGAGGTTCTTTTCGGTCGCTGATACCTAAAGTAAAAGAAATTTTAAAGTACGTTCGAACAATGATCACTTTGTAAAGTATACCCTTTTCAGCAGCGCGTGTTCTGTCACCATCCCTTGGAGTCATGCTGCCGGGCAGTGGCGGTATTGGTGGCGTACCACTGGTGACACTCTTGAAACTACCACCCGTCGGACTTGGTACTCTTTCACTTTCCGTACTGATGAGTATCTGTGATGAACCTGATCTCGATGGCGTGACAACCAATTTCGCCGTGGTAATTTCTTCTTCGATCACGAGGTCGTCCGGTAATGGATCGGTCTGTGTAGAAGCCACAGTTTCCGAAAAGTCAGGAGTGATCTCACGCGGAAGACTACATCGTATTATCGGAGTTGGTTCTCGCGGAAAGTCTCGCCTGCGACGTGGTGGTCGTGGTGGTGCTGGTAACGGTCGACCTTGTATTTTTATGAGTACGTCACCGCTGCGAAGGTCTTTGTGAAATTCTGCCTCGTCGAAGTCAGCGTCCATGAATGGCATTGATTCTGTCGATTTTCTGAAAAGACAAGAATTTCATGTCTGATAAACTGACCTTTTACTAATGAAATATTTCATTGTACAAAAAAATACCTCAACGTATCAGACTTGGCAGGCCTAAGAGTACTGTAAGTCCTGGTCGGTCTCTTCGGACCATTCTTCGAGGGCCTTGGTGCAGTAGCAAACTTGCCTCTCTTCCTTTTTGGTAGTGGCGGTCTAGGTGGTTTTTCCTTCTTCTCAATCACAGCGTAGCCCGGCAAACTTGGTTCTCTCGACGATGAATCTCTTGGTATCGTTAGTATATCTTCATCTACGTAGCCAAAGTCACCTGGCAACGATTCTGCACCGTGTGATGTTCGATCGTCTTCGGGCGCAAGCGATGCAGTTCTTGATCTTATTCTTTTCGGTGGCACAGGTGGTTGTGGTAAGATGTAATCCAACTCGTCGATGTGTTGTACTCGAAGTTGTCTTTGAATCATCTCTTCGATCTCTCGCTCGCTTATACCTGCATCGAGTGGCGGAGTTGGAGGCGGTGTTGGTGGTGGGATACGTTCGTGTGACCCAGCTAAATCGCCATAACCGTTGCACAATGCACTTTCGTTCGTTCGTATACTAAGACTCGATGATTGATCCCTTCGTAAACGCTTTCTCCTCGTTGGTACTACTGGTGGCGACGGTCTTGAAATGTCGAGAGTTTGAACGCATCGTTGTCGTTCCATCATGTCTTCAATGTCTTGAGCATTGATACCCACGTGATCGGATTGCATCGGTACAGATAAGATGTTTGACTCTTCCGTCGGCAAGATTATACTTTGACTTCTCAGTGATGTACGAGATTTTCGTCGTTCGGGTTTTACCACCACGATGTTATCGAGAGGTTCATCGGCGTATAAGTCACCTTTGTCGCGCTGGAACGGTCCATCGGTTTGATAAACGATTCTGTGCCGTGACGATGAGACACTGTTTGTGTGATCGAGTGACATTTGACTTCGACGTAATGATAACTCGCGTTTTGGCTTTTCTGGTGGTAACGACACGTCGAATGATTCCAATGACTCTTCTTGGCGTTTACGCATCGATCTTGTGCGCTTTGGTGGTATTGGTGGTGTGTCGTCCGCACGAGGCCTCAAAGCATCTCTGTTGATAAAAGAAAGTACATTCAATTTCGACAGATAAAGTTCATTTATAGTAATAAAATCAAAGTTTGAAAGAATATGGATGATAAATGTATTCTGATTAATTGTGGCCATCAAAGAATTAAGCCTATAGCGTAAATTTGATTTCTGTTAGGTCGATATGAAATACATTTCAAAAGTTACAAAGCTATCAATTATTGCTTTTCCGCATTTTATTATTATATTCAATCATTTCTATAGATTGAACTCTTTCACGCAAAATGAGATTCATTATCAACAAACCTTATCTCATTCATAATATGAAACCGCATGTTTTCTTGGCTGATACCCTTTTCCCTGAGGAAGAACTCATCCGAGTCAATTTCTTCGATAACGCCATGTCGTCTTCTCTCACAAGAACTACCACTTGATTGTTGAATTTCACGATCCGAACGCATCGACTCTTCATCCTCAGATAATCCACCTGATGGCGCACGTATGGGGGACTCTTGGAATTCGCGTGGATCTACCGGAGGGAAAGAGCCAAGTTCTTTGGGATGATACGTTTGATGCTCATTTTCCACCTATAAAATCATTTATTTTTTCAGACTATCTTTTTTCATTACTTTAATTTTATTCTATAGTTGTATTTACCTCAAGGTCAACTGCAGATTCACCGGTATCCTCGACTAATGTAACTCTCTTTTTGCGTTCCTCAGTGCCAAATTGCTGCATTAGCTGCTCGTCTTCCAGTCGTGGATCTCTAATCGGTTCCTCCTTGTGATTCGGTGGTTCAAATTCCTATGGTGGTACATACATGTTAGAATCTTCTTAAATTCATCTGCATGTTTTAATGTTTATTTTCAACTTTTATCAAACAATATAATTCCAAAACGATTCTTTAGTTTATTTTTCATAAACAAGACTTATAAATAATGATTAAAACATGTATACACCACCTTGATATCCGATCTATCTCCATACGACATATCTCTGTCTTCTTCAGCTTCATCTTCAGCGTCATATCTCCTTTCACTACTCTCCCATGGCAATTTTAATTCTTCTCCTTCACTGGATTCTTGTGGTTTGAGTGATAATCTTGGCTTTTCTAAGGACGGATGTCTCCATGGTTTGCTTCTTTCGAGTGGTGGAACTGCTGATTCTTCGTGATGAAAACCTTTGATCGTTTCGCCGAATCTTGCCGCCCATCGTGCACTCAATGATTGTGATGCTTTTTTTGCTCGCGGGAAGGTCGATGACTCGGTCGACTGTGCGCGTGACTCTTTGGGCGATGAGGTTACGTACTCGTCTTTGGCTTTCGCTTTGCGATCGAAGATCTTTGGACGGGGTAGAGTTGAGAAGTCGAAGATGTTGCGACGTCCACTTTTCGTTGACGCTGTTTCGGACGGATGAGTGTCGTCGTGAGGCTGGAATGATTAGAAAATAAAAAATAATTAATTAACTTATTTTGAACATGAAAGTACATTTGGTTTTACCTTCGTTTCTCTCTGAGAAGCACTCCTCTTTGGCTTACTCAACGACTTTGGCATTTTTATATTTGGCTTCTTGATGTGAAACTTGGCCGTATCAATGTGGAACTTGGACTTGTCGGGCAAATGAAATTTCGATTTGTCGGGCAGCGAGAATTTCGGTCGTTCGGGTAAGGCCATACGAAATCTTTCCATTCTACTGGCTTTCTGATGACTCCGCGGTGATGCTGGTGGTTTCTCTACTGGTGCTGCTGTTACTGTTGGTGACTTTTCCGCTGATTTCGATCGCGCAGCACGTTGTCTCATAAATGTTGGTTTTTGAATGCTCTTGAAACGCGTGCGAAGCCTGCCTGCTTGACTTTTCAAACGCTGCCCGACTGTGTCTTTTCTTTGGGGTGAATCTGATGAATTCACCTATATTGTTGAAAATACATTCATATGATAATGTGTAATCTATAAATGTACAATAAATAATTATAATGATTGGATATTATTATTAAATACATTTTATAAATATAAAGTTCATTAACTAGACTATTAGTCTCTCTTAATTATTACAAAATTAAAAAACTTGATACTTATCAATTAATTAACGTAAATAAATTAAATAACATGCTCAGCATAAATATTGATTCAACATTTATCTATGAGCGAACACATAGTAGATAAATTTATCTCGATGCTTTGTCTTTTGCGTTTGAAATGGTAGCACCGGACTCGCCAGCTTATTCTAAGTATAGTTTTGCTATGCTTGCAATGAGATGTAATAAAACTACAACGAGATTTTTGACCGGCACTGAAACTGATTCAGCTACATCATCAGTATCGAGTAGCGAAACTATTACAAACAAATGTCAAATTCATTGCTAGTTTTTGGATTTTATTAATATAGCACAGTTTACCTACTGTTACGAATAAATTATAAATGAAAAATAAAAAATAAATAATAAAAATAAATTATAATTAATTAAAATTATAAATTATAAATAAACGTTGAATATGAAATGATAAATCGTTATCATTTCAACTTCAACGAACATTTAAAGGGACAAAGCCCTTGCGCAATAATTTTGCTAAGCTTTTTTTCACTATAAAACTAAAGGCTTAAATTCATATAAATTTGTTTGTTTCAAACATATAAAATAATATCAAACATATGAAAGTTTTCAAAAGTTTGAAATTGGCAATAACGTATCTCTTATCGGTAACGTCATTCTTATTACCTGACTCGAGAAGTTTAAACTATGGTTTTAAAACTAGCACTAGAAAATTTGCGTCAAGTGAAATCATGTATAATTGAAAGCTGACTTTCATGTAGAATTGAAAGCTGACTGATGACTCTCCAACTATCGCGTTGTTGCAAAACAAGTGCATAAAAACTAAGAAAGTTTCACTGACAGTTATTAGATTTATCTTTATTGTATGAGTGATGAGCTAAGGTAGAATCAACATAGATTGCTCTAAATCTAGAATTCGAGTTGAAACTTATAACATATTTTAAACATATCATGGAATCTTAATTTTAACGATTACGGCCTTTAATAAAAAGAAATGCTTGTCAATTTTACACATCGCGATGACTTATTGTGGACGCAGATACATTGATGGAAATAATGTTTTATGTAATATTTTTCGAAGTAAACTAATTTTTATAATTCTATTGAATTCGCCATGTAACCGGCAGTAACATAAGCATAAACTACAAGCGAATTGTTATGTTGACTAAATGAAATAATATTATTTATTAATTTCTATTTTTTAGCTTGAGTGATCGTAGAATCTTGTCACAAAGAATAAAAACAATTATGTAACGAGGAATGTAAAAATCATCCTATTCCCGAATGTACTCGCTATTTGAGAAGCGGCGGTGAGCATGTTAATTGTAGATGATTCGAATTAGAATTAGAATTAAAATTAGAAAAACTAATGATAGTAGCGGCATAATTACTTAATTTTTTTTTGTAATAAGATGCCAATTTTCCAATTTGAACAACTGACTACAAAAGATTGTTCGCGGTTTTCACATACGTTATTATGTTACGGAAAGGTAATTTTTCCTGCTGATAATATCGAACTCGTGAGTGATTTACTCTGTACATATTGAAATACCAAAAAATAATTGTTCGGTAGATCCATAATAGTAAACATTTAAAAATAATGTCTAAATTTATTTTCATCAAACTGTAAGTTCATCTGACTCACGTACCGTTCACTTCATGATAAATTTGGATGCAACAAAACAATGGAAACTTTTTGTTACAGAAACTGACAAGCAAACTCACCTGTATAGGTTGAATCTTCACATCAGTTCTCGAGCCAGTAAGTGGCGGAATAACAGCAGTCTGGAATCTCTCCTCCAATCGATCCTGAAAGTCCTGTGGACTTTCGACCTCATCGTCCATCGTTTGATCTCCCAGGTTCTTGCCATCCATAACATTGTCTTCGATTCGGCCATCGAGTGGAAGAATAACATCGCCGTCGAGGATGAGCGCGCGACTTCGGAAGCGGTAACGGTCGTCGATACTATCGTCGCTGTCACCGACGGGTATGACATCCGTGTCGGTGATTTTTACCACCGGCGCCACCAGACGCATTGACATTGTACGCTCACGCACTGACACTCGTATCGCCGGCTGACCTATCGGCTCGTACTCGTGCTCGCTGTGTGAAGAAGAAATCGGTCAATTTGTTATTTAAAATTTTTTTTCCATTAAATTTATCGTTGTGTTTATTTCAATTGACGAAGTATACGTTAATATCGAAATATAAGACTTTGTAGTTCTGTTATTTGCTGTAGGATCATAATTTTCCGAGTTGATTTAATTAAATGTCTTTTAAATTTGTTGCTACGGGAAGAAATCGCTAAAGAAAGTTTTACAGCACGATTAAAATAATACCAATATTTTGTAAATGCTAGATTTAATATTATTTTGATTATTCACTAGCCTCTTTATTTTGCGTCATGGGGCAGGGGTTCGATAATTTGTACGGCATTGTATTAATGCATCAATCATACTTAAAATCTTGAAACCCCGTGGGTTCGTCCACATACTGATACAAATATAGAAGGATACATTCCGTTCACTCAGATACATATTATAAAATATTATTCTAAAGGATTAAGAAAAAATTAACGGAACGTAAGATACATAATTTCTGCCATAATTTGCCTATGAAACGAAGAGCCACGAAAAGTACATTGAAACTATAGTGCACATAGTACACGCGTGGAAATGTTACACGAAATTCATTTCCCACCCAAAAATAATATAATTTTCCGCGTACACATACCTCGTATATCCCTTTATACCGCGTTAAATCACTCAAATCCCCATCCCGTCATGCTTTCTAGCGCGATTGCTTTTAGCGAACATCTGTTAACCGTCAAACATAGTATTCTAGCTCTTGTTATTACTTCAAATCGTTTTGGCAAACTGAAACGCACATTCAATGTCAATTAATCGTGAAATTCAATCTGGCCTACATCTTGAGCTAAGACAAACATAAGTGCATTAAAAAAAATAGACTTCGCGTAAACTCGTTCAAAGCTACTAAAATATATAATCGACCGTGAGTCAGTGTACTCTCAAAAAACAGCGTGAAAGTCTACGTGAGCAAATGCATGTTACGAAATTTCCCTTAATTTCAGAATGCTTTCTAAAAGTGTATGGTTAATTTTGTTTACACTTTTACTGACTGTTTACACAAAGACAATCGTTTTTTTTCTCTTACAGCGGAGTTTAGCTTTGGTCAATATTTCCTATGGTTTGTTTATTGATTGTCATTTTACGTGTACTTGAAGAAAAAAATGAGCAATCGACTGAATGAAATGAAATAAAATATATTTTCATGCAATATATAAATACATTAAGGTACGTAGAGCAACTTTCCAATTTTCTCGGATACACACGCGGCTGAGTAAGAACATGTGTATGTATCTAAAATTAACTTGACGAACGTAGATTATTATGATAATTACTTTTCAAAAAGATAATTATTTTCCAAAGATTGAATCCAGTTTTGCCTGAAAAAATGTGTACGTACAAAAAAGAATCATCGGCTCAGTTTCACCTCCGATTCCGAATTCGATCCAATTAAATGGGAATGACCGCATCCTCGTTTCGCGAAAACGACATGAGCGCAGAGTGGTAGTGCGGCACGGCGACAGTGTTAGCCGCAGCGTCACATTCGAAAGAGAGGAAAAGCAGCGCGTGTGCGTGCGCCGCGACCGCGCCGGGGCTCTCGGCGCACACCGGCTATCTATAGCCAAAGCCAAAGCGGACACCTTAAATAGCCAGCGTCCACCTCGACTTTTACCTCGTCGCTGCAATGCAATCTTTTCTCTCGCCTATCCGTACTTAGAGACTGCGTCGCGCATGGAGAATTTACAGAGAGAGAGAGAGAGAGAGAGAGAGAGAGAGAGAGAGAGAGAGAGAGAAAAGGGCAAGGTGAGCGACCCAATTAATGGCCGTGAACCCGTCTCTCCTGAGCGCACGCTCTTCGCTAATGACGGCTTAAATTTAGACGAGGTGCCAACGAGCTGTCGGTCGCGTCTTCTGCTGCGTTCGGTTGTTTGACATCCCTCGAGAATTGCATGGTGTTTCTTTATCTATCACTCGGCCGACGATTGGGAATAGAGCATTGCCGGAGTGCGTCGAGTTTTATTATTTATTTCATTGGCAAGCGTCGCCGAATACTTTGTCGCTCGTCTTTATTTTTACGTTCTTGATTGCTCGCTCGTCGCTCGCATTAGACGCGCGGTTCAGCCAGTAAATTCGAGCGCGTTGATTTTAAAACAAGTGATGGACGAGCTTGCAACTTATGCTTCAAGCGTTATTTTCGACCACGTCAATGATTCTTTCGTAGATTCTATCGCGAAATACATTTTTTTATTATTATACGAATGTACTCGTTTGATTGCGTCTGAAAATTCACGAAGAGGAGAGAGAGAGAGAGAGAGAGAAAACAGAAACGAGTCTGCGATCCAATTTCAATTTCAACGTTTGCAGCTAATAGTAGTATGACCCACAAATGCTTTTTCGTAAAAGCGTCAACTGCCAAAAAATCGACCTGTACCCGCTTATTTTCGGAAAAGTTCAGTCACTCGACACGAATACACGATATTCCGAAAAAAGAAGAGATTTTCTACTTTCTAAAAAAATAAATCGCACTTTCATCGAATTTGTAATTGCACTAATGCGAGAAAAATCTACTTGTACGTTATGCGAATCCTACGATTGTTTACCCTTATCACCGGCATCCGGAGATCTCAACGCGTATCTTTCAACTTATATAACCATCACCGCACTTCACACAAACCTCCGAAAGCTCTTACCGTCTTATCTGAAATCTGACGCGTCTGCCCGTCATGATTCTCACTCGAAAAATCTGAAAAAAAATCTCACGAAATATATACGGAAAACGAGAATAAAGCACTTGACGAAGCCTCGTGCGGCGAAAAAAGCGTGCGTCTGCAGCGCAACTGCAAAGCCAGTCAATAATCCTGTCCCTCTCTCTTTCTCTCTCTCTCTCTCTCTCTCTCTGCCTCCAGCCTGCCGGAGTGTCGCCGCGTTCGGAAACTCACCCGCATCGAACCGGCATGGATTTTCGACCGGCCGGTGGTGTTTGCACCATGTTGACGTTGTGATGTAGTAGATGCCTGTGCTGGGCGGCCAAGGCGCTGCGCTCCGGCAGCAGCGAGTCGCTCTTGTAGTACTGGCAGGCGCAACGCACCTCGAGGCTGGACGAGCCGGCGCTCGAGCCACGGCGTGACCGGCTATAATTCTCCATCTCTATCTCCCCTTCCACGCGCGAGCTTCAGCGCGTATTTTCGAACCTGCAGCTGCCACGGGGTTGTTGCCGCTTTCATTTGAGGTTCATCGAAGGACGGCAAGCTGCGAGGCTGTTGAGGGTGCGTCAATGATCAGATTACGTCGGATCGAATGTGGATGCGTTATGTCGAGGCGTGGGATGAGAGTGATGATCTCGTTGCGTTCGATTTTTTATGCGACACGGCATTGCAGTGAATGCAGGTGTTCTCGAGTGCCAATAATTTATGTCTTCTTTATTGACATAGCTTGGTTAGTCGACGGTGCTACGCTGCTGTTATTTATGGAATGAATGATCGATGGTATTCGCATGGATTTGCGACTTCCGCTGAGCGTGTTATTTAGTGCCGAAAATATTACTTTTTCCTTCGAGTTGAAGACGTTCTAATTATAGAATGTCGTTATCTTAAAACTTGAGAATAGCTTGCTTTGCGCTATAACGATCGACTTATTCGTCCGAAAATCCAACTTATCAAGCGATCGCGAATGATCTGAGTTTGACCAGTGAGCTGACACCTCACAATGTAGCTCGTTAATTGCTCAACGTACGCATAAACTATTAATCGAAATACCAAATTGAATGGCTAAGCAATCGCGCAATAAGTCGCACCTACAATAATAACCCAATGAAGCAATAAATCGTCATATATCGTATTGCTCGCAAGAACATTATCGAGCGCCAATGAGCGAAATGACAGCTCGAAAGGAAACACGACACAATCACTGCACTTTTTTCTTTTTTTCGGGCACTGCACCACGATCAAACCGACCAGCGCGATCCGCGACCTCGTCGTCGCTTGGCCTTGAAAACATCAAGGTCGGTGAAGCGCGGCGCTGCGGCGGGCCACCGAGACTATACTTCGATATACTCCGCGATGTTAATCCCGCCGCAGCCGCGTCTCGTTCGTCTCTGCTCTGGCGCACTTTTGCGGGAAAATTCTCACTCGCTCAGAAGCGCCAAATGCGCGACTGAGAGACAAACAGACGAGTTGGTAGTAGTTGGCTATGCTACTTTTCGGGTATTAATTATGAAATCGAGAGTTATTGCAGGGGTAGGGATGTTATTTGTCCTCCGCGCACCCCCACTCTCGTCAACTACGTTTGGCATGTATAGTGTCTGTGCTCAAACATTTCGAATTTTCAGTCTGCTTTTGGCACTATGTTACCTCAAACTTTTATGGTACATCGAACAGCAAAACGAGGTCAAAGCCGTTAGAGACACGGCCTAGTCGATGATAAGAAAAAAAAAAGAATAAGTTCAAACGAGTGATTCTTGAATGCCCTTGAAATCGTTTCACAAATTAATTAAAGCTATTTGCATTATACGAGTTTTAATGATTACTGCAACGATAATCGAAACGCAGAGGCGCGAGAAATTCAAAGGAATGAGAGCAAACGTACGCGTGACATAGATCTATCGGAGGAACATTTGCAGTAGATTTTTTACTCGGCTGCATTGGCGTTCCAACTTGCTCAATACTTGCAGGGAAGAAGATATTTTGCTTCGCCTATTCTGCCTTTAATCTCGATTTATCGTCGTCTAAAAGTGCGTCGTGCTTCGGTGCAACGGATATTCTCAGAGCCGTAGCTTCGTGAAAAGTAGAAAAAATTATTCTTTTCTTAATTATTTATTAATTATTTATTTCTTTTCTTAATTATTTTCTTAATAATAAAAACATTCTTTTTATACGCGTTGGCGTATTTATCCGATTTATTATTCCTCGCTAAATACTGTTCGAATAATTGATATTACGATAAGAGCGATTGTTCCCTTCGCCATAAGAACCGTCCGTGTGTGAGAACCGAGTCTCGCGTGCGCGTATAATGTTCAAGTTTAAAGTACCATGACGCGACGAAGCAGTCGCTACGCCTAGCATTAATCATTCGTTAGCTCTCTCACTTAGCACTCGAGCTGCTGCTGGCCGCTCTACTTTTTGTTTATAAATAAAAGCGCGACGGCATATATATATATATATATATATATATATATTGTTGTGTGTGTGCGTGTATCTGTGTGTGTGTGTCTCTCTCTCTCTCTCTCTCTCTCTGGGCAGCTCTTCTGCGTGCCTGTACTGCGACGTTAATTGATGTGTACAGCCGCAGTGTGTCGCGCGATGAGTTAGACGAACGTGAAATTGAAATGCTGCCGTTTATGAACTTTACACTCACCTTTTACTTATCATTATGGCTAATTTAGTTATTGAATGCGTACGTTTCATCCGATCATATTATTGTGAAATTTTTATCTTAATTATTCTAAGTTTAAATAATAGAGAAAATTAGAAAGAAATCGAGAAAAAATATGGAATTTTTACATCAATTAGTGAGGATTGATAGTGGATTACAATAGGTTTCAACTAGTAGTTTCACATATATATGAGTATCTCGATTTTTACTATCGATGTCAAGGGCTGTTGAACTGTTTTTATGAGGTTCGAATCTAGGTGCTCCCAAGACAAACTGATCGATCTATTTCGATAACTTTTCAAGTTTCCACTGCCCTTCAAAACTTATTAATTAATCATTTCAATGTCGATAATTAAATTCCAGTTATTAGGGAGAGGTGAAAAAAAAATGTAACCAACGATGATTATTTGTCGAAAAGAGCATGAAATTTTATTCATAACACAGAGCCTATAATTCAACGTTGTCCGTAGATTTTTCAAAAACGTAGCGGGCGGCGAGCCGTTGAATTCGTTCTCAATTTTCCCGCGTATCCCATTTTTCGCTCACAGCCGCGCGAACATCTTAACTATGTAAAGATTTATTATTATTTTTTTTTTAAGCAATCGTCACTCGTATAAAATTATTTTACAATCCGCGCGACCTCGAAGAGCGAAAATTTACAGGCGACGCGTGAAATATATCAACGAAACATTCACCGGAAAAACTCACTCGCCGTGTCAACAACTTTTGTGTGTATGTTCCGACTCTTTTTTTTCCACTATTATAGATTTAGAGCGTTTACATTATGGATAAAACCGCAAGATGTCCGTTTACAGTCCATTTTTTTTCAGCGACGCATTCATCCTCATCTCGAGCTGGATCACAAAATACTTATTCTGTAGAAAATCGCGCTATTTTTTTGTTTCTCTTAATTCAACAATTTGTATGGCTACACGATAAAACCAAGTGTATAAAATTATACTCATTATATAGTTGCTCCAATTTGAAATACATTGACTTAAAATTACACACGTGGATACGTGTAAAATCGATGCCATTGTATTTAAATAGGAGCAATACACATAACGTATATAAATTAACACGCTTGGTTTTTACGTGCGTTTCTCTTGTATTTTTTTCTTTTTTTTTTTATTTGACTTCCATTTACATCGTCATTCAACCAAAAGTAAAAGCTTGTTGTATATATATTTATATGTGTGTGTGTATTTTCATGTTTGTGTGTGTATATATATATACACCTTATGTATATTATGTTCATAATATAATAAACAAACTGAAGTAGAAAATTTCGTCGGGCGCAACAAGCGAAAAATCTTTCAATTAAACAGACTTTCTCGATCGAGTATCGCTCAGCATTATACTCACATCACGCACAAGCACTCGCCTTTTACTTTTTTTTTTACTGATTTCGCCTATTCGCTATATAATAGCTTTTTCTCTTTTCAAGCACACTCGACTGCCGATAAGTCTCAAAATTAATTATGTTTACACCTTTGGAGTGTAACGTATTTTTTTCTCATTTATTTATAAAGCATTTGTTGTTGCCGTTATCGGTGATAATTGTTATAATAGATGTGGATAATATATTATTGTATATATTTTTTTTATTTTTTTCAACTTCATTATTTTGCTTCAATCACAGACAATAAAAGCATGTTTTAATGTCAAAATGTTATTTTTTTCATACAGACTTTATATATTATTCTTTTTCGATTGTTATTCATTTTGTCGCATTATAATTTATTATTTTTTCAGAGCTTTTTATGTATACGGCCATATGTATGTTTACATCTTAGATAAGGATATGTCAGAAATAATTATGATAAGTATGTTTTTTTTATTATTTTTCCTTTCTCATTCGCGAGAAACTGAAATACAACAGCAGCAATATATATATATAATTGAACAGTCGTCTCTCACAAAACATAAGTAATAAAAAGAAACAAAAAACAAAAGAAAAAAATCTCGATCGATGTAAAAACGTTCACTTACATCCGAAAAAAGTAATTAGAGACCACAAACTAGAGTTTCAAAGTCCATATGATTAAAAGTTACTGTAAAAAAGGGAATCACAGTAGTCGCAGGCGCATTTCGCTCAAGTACACGTGTAATGTATGGAGTATATGTCCGTTCATACAGGCAATAAGACACACACTTGTTAAATTTGTTTTATATATTTCATCATCGGCGTATGCTCGACATTACCTAACTACACATTTCGTACTCGAGACGACGTAATTAATAATTGCAATTATCGCAAAACTTCGAACGCTGTCGAGCGTCGAACGAACACTTTTTTTCTCTATGCGCGTGCATCAACGGTGAGTGTATGTATGTGTGGGAGAGATTTAGATCGTCAATTTATTCTTATATATCAATGAAATAAACGCAAGTACAATGCAGAGTAAAGTTGGCATTTATCAGAACTTCATCATGAATCACAAGAGTTTTAATAAATATTGTGTTTTTTGTTCTTAATTAGTTGACTAATTGGAGATTATATATATATAAGAACGATCCAAATCTCGAAATAAAAATACTAAAAAGTTCCAAAGATTAAAGTCGAATATTTAACATGCTTTTCTAGTCAAGACTAAGTTACTGCAATTGAAGTCAAAAGGTATAAGTGATGTAGCGTTGATAAAAATATCAAGGAATTTTCTAAAAAGTGTTGCAGCTAAAATTTAGGAATTATTTCCTTCTACTATAAGGTGTCTTTAGCCGTAAGAGACTTTACAAATAAATCAATTCTTTTTAAAGAGCAAGATAAATCCATATCTTAAGGCTAATTACTTGTTTTTTTTTCTTTAAAAGAAAATGCATTAAGATTCATATACTATAATTTTTTGTTTTTTGTATATATTACATTTTCAGTATGTATATATCATATATTTATATTTCATTTTTTTGTCATTTGCTAGTCTCAAAAAATTCAGTGAAGTTAAAGCGCTTGTTAAGAGTTACAACTCTTGTTTAATTAAATCTTAATTGAGTATTTCACAACATCCTCATAATTTATTTCGTGTTCTCTGACAATAAATCAATAAACTCTAGCTTTATTATGAACTTGTATTTTTTTTTGTTAATTTTTTTTCCTAGCTAAGTATTTATAATTGTAGAAGTTACCGTTGCTTTTAAAAACTTTACAATTATCTTACAGTGCGAGATCTCGCAACGGAATTTACGCTAATATTTATAACGTCTGTCTTTTTGTCATCTTTCTCTTTATCAAATTTAACTATATTCCTTATACTGAGTTATTAGTACAGAAAATATACATTACTTTTTTTCAAGTTTCCTTGCTTGAATGGAAAAGGTAGATTTACTTCTTTTGCTTTCTTTGAGAATCAACAGTTCTATAATAGATCTTTATCAGCTACAATATCAGCAACAAAATTCATTTTTTATTTTTCATCAGACGACGTGGAGATCAAGTAATTAGTTTATAATCGTAGTTCGTTTTCGAATACGATGTATTGATTTAATAAGATAAAAATCTATATCATCTGCTAATATACTATTGAAACAAATAAGCTTGATGAACCTTGGTTTTTTTTCTTCTGATCCTTTTACGAAGGAAAGGCAAACCTGCTGCAAATTCTTGCGTGATTCTTCTCCTTATATCTTATTAAACCAATGGACTAGCACTTAAGTAACTTTTAAAAGCATGGTAAAATGGCTTAATGCTCTCCTCTAAAAGGAAAAAAATCACATATCGAAATGTGTATGTTATAAACATTATTGTACTGAATCTTTTTCGCGAAGAAACAAACAATTATTTACTATTTCTCCTCAATAAAAAGAGAGATAAAACTGAAAAATTTGGCATTACAAACAATTCTATACACTTATTTAAAATCCTTAACAACATCATTCTCCACGTACAAAAAAGCCATACTCTTTAAAGCGAGACAATCATCATCACCGTAAACATTAAATAACCGCCATACTTCATTAATAATTCTTTGCAATCTCACGTCATTGCACTAATAGAAATTCAATAGCCCCTCTTACCTACTTTAACCTACAAATAGTAATACTTGAGACGGCGAAAGCAAAGTCGCCCAAGAATTTGCAGTGGGTTGTTTGCAGATAGCGCACATGAGTAGAAAAACCGAATGTTTTTGTTTTGATAATAATAATAATGGGATGCGGGAGAGAAAGAAGAGAGGAGTAATAACCACCGGCTTCCCCGTTCGTTTGTTTCTTTTCATTTTTTTCTTTCTAGTGGACTTCTTTCAGTGGCGCAAGGAGGCAACTTTATTGTTGTATGTGTAACTGCCACCTCGGCCAGCATCATAGTCGTACTCGTAGTCGTAGTCGCGGCTCGGCCCGTAATGATGCGACTGCTTTGGCGTCGAACGGTACTGCTGTTCCCTGTGTGAACACATCATTTTTTTTTGAACTGGCATGAATTATGTAAAACGAGCACTTGAAAGTTCAAGATGACGTTGGCGTATAATAAGTTAAGGATTTTATCTACTTGCTGCATCGTCATAATCCGATCGCGGGGATTATGTAAAGTAAAAGCATACGAGAATGGATCTAGATGCGATATATACCATGACACCTGCATATCAATAACTTAATGTAAAAGAATACGACACTAAGAACGTTTAATTGAATTTTATTTCCATTGATCCTTCTGTAATCCGATTGAAATATTTAGTTCGTCTGTCCCAGTGAATCAGTAGAGAATCAAACAGTTATCGGAATAAATTGAATCGGTACTTCAAATTCAATAATAATTTAGGCAAAATAGATTCAATACCATCTCTATGTGGATGTCACGTTATCAAATTTAATGTACAGAATTTCAAAACTTTCAAGAATCGAGCTAAATAATTTATTGCAAAGCCAATAAAGTTAATATAATCGACGACACACAGTGCATATAATCTATAGAGTATAACCGAAGAGTATAATTTTCAAGTAAATCGTGTAACGTCATAGCAAAAATCCGCGCAAGTAGTAATATCCTTATATGGTCAGTCATAATTACAAATTTCAAAGTTCTGCCTTCGAACTTCCTCTTTTCACTATTAAATTCATAAATTATCGACACGGCATACATGCATTTTCAACTAACCAATGCTGATCGGCGAAGTCAACGGAAGCCGGCAAACGCCGGGGTCAGGCGAGCTCGTTGCTGTCTGGGAAGTGATCGCGTACGTCGAGACAATTGGCGAGATCGAGTACTAGATGATGTAGTTGCGGATGCTCCAATACGTCAGCTTCGGGTAACGGTGGATGGCATCTTGGCCTCTGTTGTCGACTGCGAAACGAACGGTGCAGGTGTAACACCACGTCGCAAAAGATGTAACGTAACAGCAGCAGTCGCAGAAAGTCGTCGCCGAAGAATTGTAGCACGCTGGATTCTGAAAGTTGGCGAGTTGCATTTCAAAAACGACGTTTTTCATCACGAAGAACGTTTCGGTAAAACAAATAGACTTCGACCATTTTAATAGAGCTTCGCCAATCGAACACGCAAAAAATATTTATTCGATCTTACGCAAACTTTTTTTTTCCCGCTTGTCGCACGATCACGAACGAAAATAAAAAGAAGAGAGGAGACGCACACCGAGGGATCCCTTAAATAATCGATGCGGCTCAATAGCGCGAGCAAACAGCGGCTCATAACTAAATCATTCGTTTACTTGGAATCATTACGGTTTCTTATTTGATTTTTTCTACCGAGATTTGTCGCGCGATATCGGTCAAGAAATAATCTTTCGCCGCATGTCTGCCCAATCATTGAGTCGTCGGGCACGCGAGAAACCTATTTTCTATTTTTAAAAAGTCGTTTTGACGGAAAGTGCGAAACGCTCGATTGAGCAATATTCACGCTCGCCGCTTTAAGAAACCAATCGATATGTACATATGCATTCATCGTTCTATATATATATATATATATATATATATATATATATATATGTCGCTTCGATTTTGACAATAACAACAACGACGGAAAAATATAGAAAACAATATATGTTGAATTTCGTCATGCGAATGCTCAGTTTTTTTCTCTAACCATTGAATTTTTTGCTCTCGACGGCACCGAAAAATGGTTTTAAATTGCAACTTTTTCTCTCGCGATTTCTTGAATTTTTATCATCGACGCCGCTTATCATAATCGACAGGTGTTAATTAATGTTAATGCGCCCTCTCAAGTATTGATCGACGTCATTCATTTTACGCACGAGAGAGCGGGGCATTATTTCTGGTAATATCGCGTTTATCGATTTTGTACTAAATATTATATCGACAATGAACGTGATGCGGCTTTTCCATCTGCATATACTTTAATCCGCAGACACATTGACACATTTTCTAAATCACAATTCGGCTCTCGAATCAAATTATGCGCGTGGAATTTTTAAGCATCCAGATTTTCTTTGTTATAATCAAGTTTAGAATGTGAATGCGATAAAAATAAAATGGAATAGAAATCATAAAAATTACAAATAACAATCCTTGTACTTCATAGTATTCCGTAGTAAGATGACTTACTTCTCAGCGCCAAGCACCCGAACGTGAAAAACACACAACGTCCGCAACGCATTTCGAAAACTCGCCAAAATCCCCACCCTCTGAGGAAAAAAAGCTGGAAACTAGATCGCGCGCGCTTAAAAACGCAGAATCGCGTGGCACAATTCTCTTCCGCTCAACATTTAAATGGAACAAGTAGACGTATACTCGGGCGTTCCGGTTACATAGGAACCTATATATATATATATATATATATATATATATATATATATACACATTCATACACATATATATGAAATGTTCACGCACATGGACGAGAAAAAGAAAGGGGTGTGTGAAGCGACATATTACCGCATCGTGAGCGTAGTACAAGTCGGCATGCCTCGATGAGAAACTGCTCGACGTAGCGCTGGCATCGCTCCCAGTGATGAAGCTGCAGCGTGTCCACATTGCAGATAAGGCAAAAAGCTGCCAATGGCGAGTGCAAAAAGAGCGTGAACAGACTGCCCGCGTGTCTCAAGTCGCGCAATCCAGATGGTATATCTTGCGGTGACATCAGCACCATCAACGGCTGGCCAAAGTAACGCGGTATCTGCTGGAACACGAAACTATTGTCCGAGTCTACCACAACGAACAGCGGCTTCCGTGTGTAAGGGTACAGGTCGCCAGGATAGAGGCAGTGGGGCTCTTTGGCGCCGGCAAGACGTTGTTGCTTCGTTATGCCATGTGCGTCCAGCTCGCGCTTCGACGACGTTGATACGCCACCAAGGTCGTAACCCACTGAATCGGAATTGAAACAAACGAAAAAACAAAGGTTTCGAACCATTAGTGCGCATCGCTTTCTTTCTCCCTAGGGGTTCGTTTGCAAAGGATCGCGCTCAGCTTGCTTGTTCTAAAGGCTTTCTTTCAACATTTACGCAACTTCGAAGAACAATTCAATCCTTTCGCGTAACGGAGTTTATTTTGACAGCTTTAGAGAATGTCTGCGGAACAAAATTTTAATGATTGTCTCTAACAGATATTATGCACGCATTAGATTATTCAATATATTATATTGTACCACATAGTAATGAATAAATGATAACGAAAAAAATAGCTTCAAATAGTTTACTCGTAATAATTAAAACACCTAGTGGTAAGACCACTAATATGAAATTTCATATTAATATGAAATTTAATTGTCCATGAATACTCGTTTATTTTCATCTAGTTCATAAGTCATTAAACTTCAGATAAATATTTTGATTTAAACTAAACAAATTGCTAGCGTATCCGCAGTGGAAATCACATTTCTAAAATTCAAAATCTTGTACCTGATACAATCTTAATTTAGGAAATGTCGGATGCGTATGTATTGCACAAAGTAGTCTGGAATAGCGTATAAAAGAGGCCAATGAACTCGTAAGGTATAAAAGAAAGTAAATTTTTTTAAAAATAGTTCTGGATTGCTTATATACTGCAGTTGGAAAAATGTCAAAATCTTTTCGCAAAATAGCAGCAGTTGTGTTACATACATACCAACGACTTCATTTCACATATATTATGAAAGTTAAAAGTCGTTTTCCTAGAGACATACTCATATATACTTACACCAAGTGTTATGTTCAAATGTAATGGAGCACATCGATACATTGGAGATAAATAAAGACTATAACAAAGTCTAATTGTATAATCAATAGAAAGCTTGAAATGGATATACATCACTACTTTGTAACTAATTGAACTAACAAAAGAGTAAAAATACATTTCCAGAGCTCTTTAACCAAGACATTATCAACACAATGAGAATAGTAAATTACATGGAATCACATTATGCACAATTTTATTTCAATAGAAAACATACTAATGAAATTCATGTATATTCGATGTCAATGCTAAATAAGAGTAATAATCTTTAACATATTAGATTGTCTTATATTGTAGACTAACACAATTTAATTAGCAATTGAAAACCATTTAGTGGTGATAACAAGTACTCAATGTAATGATATTCTCACCTATTCTATAACATTGCATTTTAATACTTTCCAAAGAATAATAAATTGGCTAGCTCTATTTTTGTAGAAAGCGAGAAAAAACAAGAAATTAATCCACTTAGCAGTCTACAACACAAGGCAAAACACTGACTCGACAAGAAAAAAAGTGCAAAATCTGCCGATAATAAGCATGTCAAGGGAGCCTTCGATCAGAAGAGACACGGAAGAAAGAATAAAGTTGCGAGAGTTATGTACGGTGATGGGGGTTGCGAAGCCAAATATGCAACGCTGCACGGTCGTTCCATATCACACGCAAGTATTAGCGATTCCGTGGGTGCGATTCTAGCGAGCCATACGCATTCCGGAACGTATACACAAAGACCGCACGCGTTTGGCCTACACGATCGATCGATGTTTATTAGTTTCGGATGACTCTGCACGCGGTTAAAAGCGCGACAATTGACAAACATTTATAGCGATCTACTTACTTCCTTTGCGAAGTTAATTATCGCTTTAGGCTCTAAATTTTTCATTTTGGATTCTGACTTTGTCGAGCTTCAAATCGTAAATGTGTTGGTAATTGGAAGCTTGAGTGACGCGAATTTTGTATTCTCGCGGGTACAAAACACTGCCGACGTTTTCTATTTTCTGACGGAATTAGTCGTGAAATTATTGGAAACTCAATTGTTTCAATGATCGCATTTCCTTAATTACAATTGCGTTATTTTACCATTGTTTCTAAACTTGCTGCTCCGATTACTTGTGAGAAATATTCTGTTCCACGGTGATCTTCTACAGAAATATTATTTCTCAAGTATCGTTGTCCAACTACATGAACACATATGACTATAATAAATTCCTTAGAACCCAAGATTTGTAAGTCTATAAGGATTTCAATCAACCATGCAACATAAATAATCTTATAGAAAAATGTGTATATTTTCTAAATGATTGTATCTAAAACTAAATGCAATCTAAATGAACGGAACATGATTAATGATGTTTACAACACCACATTAAAAAAAGATTCTATCTCCTGACTAGCACTTCAATAAAGAAAATAGGTAAGTGTACAAAGCTCATAGCCTCAGTCACGAAAAGCCTACTAAGTATCAAAAAATAAGAAGGAGAAAAAAACAATGATAGAAGTAAATAATTCCAGCCCAGAAAAAGCCAAGCCATCGCGCGTTTAAATTGTTTTATAAAAGGACAGCAACTCACTTTCTTCGGGCCTCTTGACCGTTGAAAAGCAACCGTCCGCCGATAGATAAAGCAATAATGCACCATTGACAGGTAATTCCTTAAAGCCACTCGCAAGGAATACCTGTACCTGGCTATAGGTCGGCTTGTAAAGTAAATACTTGTGCGGATTGTCACGCCTTGGCGCTCCATTTTCCGCTGGATATGGACCAGGCCTGAACGGCATCCGACCTGCTGGCGATGCGTCGTGCAGGTGATTTGGATCATCTCGTGGCTCGCGTTCCAATGTTTGCAGCATCCTGAACATATCCATCGATAGCTCGCTGAATTTCACCTGAGAATACAATGATTTCGATGTGAATTAGGGATTGCAATGTAGCCACGTTTTTATGTGAGATCGGTTGGATTCTTTTTCCATTTATACGTTACATTTTGCTAGATTTTTCTTAATTGCTGTGTGAACTTTTATTACAATAACTTTCAAAAATTCGCGTCCTCGTACACTCTGCAGTGATCGATTCAATAGACAGCAGACAACTACACAGGGGACAACATAGTAACACAAATTTTCAAATTTGTTTCATTTTTAAATGTAATGTTTTCTAAATGAAGACATTTTATTCTTAAGTTGAGGTTCTTTTTTAATTTAAAAAATGTTCCTGATTTCAATTTTTTTTAATACAGTAAATTCAAGAATGTTTTCACTGTAGGCAGATAAACTTGAAAAAGGAAAAAAGTAGCTAAGGATGTAATGACTAACCTGATCGGCACAATTACCGACGATGAGGATCTCCTGTAGAGATAGGCACATGGGTGGCGAGCGTTCGATCGGCGGCGAGGTAAGTTGACCAACTCGATGGGTCAACACAACAGGAGCATTTGTATCGGTATGTAATACCGCGATTGCCGCCTCGGCTTTGACGAATGCTTTGATCTCATCGAGTACGAGATTCCACTCGACTTGATCGTCCGGCTCGTACGTGCTACTGTAATCGGCGATCTGCGCGTCTAACTCTTGCACCAACTCACGTACCAGCTTCATCTTATTCAGCAGCAAGCATACTACAATGAACCGCGCGTAATACCTGCAAAAGGCACACGGTTGCTAGTCAACTTTCCAACTATAGCTTAAAAGTTAGGCTGTATACGCTGGCGACGCTTGTATCGATTAAAAACAGCAGAATAAGTCATTAAGAAGTTGACGCGACGTGCGCGAGTGAACTGATGAATAAGTCAAGAGTAAAATATATGTGCAAATACCTAAGCTTTTTGACCATGAGATCGCTTCTGTCCTCCTTGGCTGCACGGCTGTAATAAGCGCGGCCTCGTATCGCCGCGTAGAAGGAATAGGCTTCATGGAGGTAACTCGTTTCGCTCGTCCTTAGGTAGTAGTGATAATACAGCTGGCCGATTTTACTTGCTATCTCTCCGATCTGCCATCTTTTCAGTCCGTATTTGCTGTCGAGGATGGCACTGCGAGAAAGAATTTTCGTGCAATGTCAATTGGCTCAAGTGACTCTGACAATCAGATTGGAAATCATTTCAAGTTGTGACTTCACGGCAAATAAATGAATCGTCCAGTTCAAGCAAGCAGACGTCATAATTTCACTAACTGGATAGCAATTGAATTGCGTCGGCAGTGTTATTATTGTCTAGCGATACCGTTACGTTAACAATTTGTAAAATCTACTTTGCGCAAGTGTTTCGTCTGAGAAAAAACGTCATCTGAACTATATCTCTAAGAATTATCCGAATGCGACAGAAATAATAAGGAATCTTTCGACCATAAACCAAAGTACCATGCTATTTAATTTCTCGACAGAGAAAAAACATCCACTCTTCATTACCATCGAATTAGCCAATGTTACGCTAGCTAGAGAGAGGCCGATGACTCTGCGGGAAAAAAAATTAAAAACAGGGTGACTCTTTTTTTTCGGCGAAGAAGGGAGAATCAATCTTCGAAATCTTAGGCAGGAAGTATACGTAGGCTAAAGCTTGTAAGCATACGTGTGTGTGGGAGGGTTAGGCGGTAGACGCCCTTTGCGTGTGTGTTTCGCAAGGAGGAGGAAGGAGGGGGAGAGAAAGAGTTGCCGCGAACACGTGTGTGTATATTAGTGTATCGACGCCGCGCTGCTTCATCAGCAATTCAACGTGCGTCTTTCCCTGATGACGCGCGCTCGATGTACAACTTTGGTAAAAAAGAAGAAAATAAGAAAAAAAATTTCCTCTCCATTATGCAAAAATACTTCTCTGGATTACTCGCATCAAAGCTTCTTTCATAAATTACAATTTTGCTCGTTAATTCAAATGCCAAATCCGCGTGTAACTCTTCTCTCTCACGCTTTTTTTTCTTTTTTGAAGAATTGAATATTTCAGTTTGGTTAAATGACTTGGCTCACGCCATCCCGCAGAATACTACTTACTATGCCAGTTACTCGCACTCGCACGGTGGTAGTCGTGCAAGGCGTTTCAAAAATTAATTACAAATTTATAATCGCATTTCTTATCTTATTGGGATTTATATTCCTGTCGCGCGAACCCGCTGGGTGGCTGCTTGACTACAGCAATATATAATTGCGTTTTGACTTGATATAAAACCCAGCCGTTATTTTATTGATGTAACTAGATTCTGTCCCGAAAGTTCCGAATTTGATATTTTCTATTTGAATACCGATGGAAAAAAAAAGTTCATACTGTTAAATGAATTACATTTTAATTTGCTTTTCATAATGCATGCATAGGTGAATTTATATAACGAGTTGTTAATTAAAGTGATAGGATATGCATGTACTGGTATTAATTTTAAGAATTACCAGTATTGTCTCCGATATAGATATAACATGTATGTTTGGTTGAACCAAATTTATTATGTCTACTTACACTATTACAATTTAAGTAGTAACGAACCACTAATCATAAATCAAACAATATAAATCGTATTATTGTTGCTTATATTACAGTCATAAAGTAAAAAATGATTCTTTTAAAATATATAGAAACAAAATATAATATTATTGTTTGAATAATTTATGCAGATCTTAAGTTAAAATAAATTTTACGCCCTTATCATAATCACGAAAAATCTGTAATATTTCAATCCTTATCATACATTTCAAAGTTATGACAATTAAAAGGAAATATCCAAGTTACATTTTCATATTTCAGAATATTCTCATCATTTGTTAGTCATCATCACCCAGAAAAATCAAACTGCTCTCCATCCTCTTCTGCCTCTTCTTGAATATCAAACGATCTCAAATGACAATATACATAAAATCTCATCTGAACAAAAAAAAAGGATTCCCAAGTTCCTTCGGTTACCGTATTCCGATCATATGGCACCAAGCAGCGGAGATCAGAGTTAGTAGTATATAACGCAAAGAGCGTCGTCGTCGTTCCCCACCCAAAGAAGGAAAAAAAACGACGTCGGGTCCCCCTAAATCTTGAGGAAGAGAACAAGCTAACCGCGCGAGAGATAGCCAGTTGTGAGCGTACGTGGGTGTGTGTGGATGAGAGAGAAAGAGAGAGAGAGAGAGGCGGGAGCACCCCGCGAGATAGAGAAAAACGAAAGCTCTGTGTGTTAAAAGTAAATGCGCGCAGAGAGAGAGAGAGAGAGAGAGAGAAAGAGAGAGAGAGGGAGTGAGCGAAGAGATGTGAAAGGGTATTGTCGCGTGTGCTGCGGTGCCTTCAGAGATGCGAAAGGGAGAATTTATGAAAGAATGAATCGTCTCGTGCTTATTCAGTGCGATAGCGTTTTGATAATTCGTCGTAATTATTCCTCCCTCTTTTAATTGTCTCGCGCTGCAATTCAAAAATGTTATCGCTCGTGAAGCAACAAACAGGAAAGAAGAAGCAGCAACAGCAGTAGAAGAAGAAGCAGCATCGTGACACACTCAAAGAAGGGAGAAAAAAAGAAGTAGCAGCAGGTCTCGTTTTTAAAATGTGTATTATTAGCAGAAAAGCTGATGCACGTAGGTCGGTGCACACACGCACACACACACACACACACACACACACGCGTACACATGCATACACAGGCAGAGGGAGAGAGAGTGCAGCCCTCGAGGCCTATGAGCACACACAGGGTGCTCGAGAGGGGCTCTGCTCGTCGTCTCGCGCGCGCGGCACTAACCTCAACTATAAGCGTCGACAACTTGGCTGCTACTGGGTACCTATTGAAAACGTGAGGAAACCCAGATAAAGCAGAAACTACGAGAGAGGTAATGGTGCCTCGTTTGATCGAGAGAATTGAAAAGCAACTTCATAACCTCTCCCTCGGTCCGCGGAGATACGCGCGCGACGACTCACCGGTGTTGCTGTTGAAACTTCCAAAGTTTGGTGTAGATGTCGAATGTCCTGCCGAAGTAGGCCTGCCACTGTTTGTGTCCGTACTGTGGCAGATCGCGCAACCCGTTGAACAGCTGCTTACTCTTCTCGAGCAGGTGGCAGAATTCGACCACGACTTTGCGCTCGTGCTCGTCCATACCGGCCATCATGACCATTTTCTTCGTTTTGTCGAGAAAGCCAAGGGACGACGACGCAGGCCGGCCAAACTCTCCTCCTCCTGCTACTGATGCTGATACTGCTGAGCCCCAATCGTCGCTGTACAGCCCCACTCACCGCGATGCTGACACTGCTACACCTCGAGTGTCTAATTGCTGGTGCTGCTTCATCGTCAACGATCCGTGCACCGATGGATAATCCTCCATCGCGACGCTCAGTTTTAATAGCTATGTACGAGCCAAGCTACAACAAACTCTCCTTTAGCCTGCCTGAGTCGAGGCTTACTTGCTCGCTGGCTGCTGCTACTACTGCCGTCACGACGACGACCAACACCAGCAGTGCCAGCCGAACAACTCCCCTCTCTCACTCTCTCTTTCTCGCTCGCTCGCTCGCACACATAGACACGCGCGTATGCACAGCGCGATCTTCTCTCTCTTGCTCTACGCTACGCTACACATTTGCCGCGAGCGCCTACTGTATACGTCCTCTCCCCCTCCCCCTCCCCCGACGTCGTCGCCGCCGTCGTCGTCGTCGTCGTCGTCGTCGTCGCCACCATCACAGCAGCAGCAGACATGCCGAGGAGCGCGAATCAATATGACGCGGCGTAACCTGCAGCGCCGCAAGCTACGGGTCGATAGTCAGAGCTCTCATGGTACGTGGTCTCGTGAAGACCAGGGCTGCCGGATCGACATACGAGTGTTGGTAGACGAGGGGATGATTTTATTGAGTGCGGGCTTGCATGACCAGAGGTTGCGATTTAGTTTCCGGGGCGGATAGCAGATGGGGCTGCAATTTGACGTTTCATCTTTCCGTGCTTTTTATACCTTACTTCAAAGAATAGAAGGTTCGCAGATTTTTCCCAATTTTCTCGTCACGTAAGCTATGCTTGTATTAATTTTCATTTCAGAAACGAACAATACATGTGAATTATGGCGATTGAAAATAGGAAGATTGCTCGGCTGAATATTACGTAGAATCAAAATGAAATAACTGTCACAACTGACGAAACTATATCATTTCAGAAATGTCAAATTGTAAAATGAATGTTACGTCAATGTTTCAATATTAAAATACTTTTTAATGCTCAAATGAAAGTAGATATTGAAGGTAAGATATCCAATGGTAAATGTAGTTAATCGTCTTATTAAATAAACCCCCATCTTATAGATACATGAAATTCATGTCGTTATTCGCTTTTCGAAAAATAAAAATTTGCAAAAATTATTCAACTGCACTACAAATTACGTGAAAGCTGTGAAAACAATTAATCCTCATTCACAATCGCAAGTAGAAATTTATCGCGTGTGAAGGTCAGCAATACAAAAACAACGTCCCCCTCACGGCTGCTGACCAACGCGGCAGTGTTACGCTCGGCTCACCGTGACGGCAATACATTTTTCCTGCACAACCCGAAACGCAAAGATTAATTAACAAGATAACCCGCACACACTTCTTGTTTTTTTTTGTCGAAAATCCAAGCGTAGATTTATATTGCGATGGAATCTTCGAAAAAAACTAAAATTTACCGGCGAGTAACGACTGATATGAGGCTGTTACTAGCAAGGCTACGATATCGAACCACACCGCGATAACGCATGCACGTCGATATTTGGCAAGTAGACTATGATTTACGGCCGGTATCGCATCTCTATTCGGTGCTTCGGTTCGTACATTTGCTTCGATTAAGGTAATACATCGTTGACGCGATCGATACGCGAGATTGCGATACATCGGATTGCAATGAAATTTCCACGACTGAAAATACTCGACTACCTGAAAATCCATGCTCAATGCAAATAAAGTCCAGCGTGCCCATACGTTACGTATGAAACGAGAAGACAAGGGAGGCACGTAAAGCCCCCATTGAAGAGGGGGAGAGAGCTGGTTTCGCATCGGCTGTCGCCTCATCTACAAGTCAATCAGGTTTGCGTGTCCTAAGTCCGTAGAACCTTTCTTCTCTCCCTCTTGCCATCACCGCGCTCATTAGTGACTTTACAACTTTGCGAAAATTTCTCTTAGATTTTCGGCGAGAGAGGTCCTCATGCAAAAAACATCGCTGCGCGTTTAAGGACATTGGTCCCAGTTGAAGTATATAGAAATATTGTTGTAGCTCGATTAGGTACTATGAAGTATTTTCCGAGTATAGCTGGAGGATGTTAAACTTGATACGGAATTAATGTGGAACTAGAAAGCGATTGAGATCAACAAAATAGTATTAATAAGTTTTGGATAACTTTGGGTACTAGAGTAACAAGTTTGCTAAATAGTATAGAAATTTGAAGACTGCGTGATCGAATACCGAGAGGCAGGAAACGGAAACGCAATAACAAAAACTGCGAAATTAATTATATTTTTAACTAAAAAAAAATTAAAACTGAAAAGTAAAATTCCATGTTACACTATATAATTGAAATCATCGTGGAAAGGTCTATATCGCGGAATATGCAAATGACCCCGAAAACCTAATCAAAGCCTATATTTAAAATCAAGCCTCACACACACACACACACGCGCGCGCGCGCGCACGCACGCACGCACACACACACACACATACGGTCAAGTATGCAAGTCTAATGTATACGCGGCGTATGGCTGCAACTGCATGCATACATGAATGCTAAGAGAATCGGAGATTCGCCGCGAGATAATCCGTTATCATGCTCTGGTATCGGTATGTAATGCGTGTGCACTAGTTATACACGTGCACATACATCGAATTTTAGGGCTCTCCCTACCTCAATAATCACCCAGCTAGAGAGTGCAGTTCTATCTGCAACAATAATTCAGATGGAAACTAGAGATACGATATATGACTCTGCATGTGTGGATTGGATGCTTGTACGCGCGCGCGCGCGTATACGTGGTCGTTTGGACTAACGATATAGATTTTTCAACTGAATTTAAATTTGCATTCGAAGAGCGATATGTATAATACCACGTGAATGTGATTGCTCGAGTATGTCGCACTATACCGGCGTATTACTACTTGGCGGACTTTCTGCAATTTGAGGTTTCTTTGCTTCAGCGATTAATTATGGAAATTATAGTTGCATAACATTTATTTACAGCTTGCCCTATTTTTCAAATTAATCTATGTATCACCGAATATAAGAAAATTCATTTGTTCCCATTAGTAACTTGCAATTCTCAAGGCTGGGAACAACGGAATCGCTACTTATATACATAGCTTGTTCGTTCGTTTATATGTCGATAACTTGGCGTATCTGGTGATCAACTATGCACCTAACAATTAAACATTAAAAGAAAAACGGAAAAGAGACGTCTTTAAAATTCATCTGCACCCCTTGAACCGAAGCTCGCTCGCCCGTGAAAGAAAAGGAAAGTATTTTACCCAGCGTAACGCGTGCATCGATCAGCTTAAAACGCACAAATCGCTCTAATTTACTATAAACCTAGCACCTCGAGGAGCTGTTTGCGAGGGCGCGTGTGAAAATGCTTGATGGACTGGCAATGGTGAGTCAGCTCTTTTCGTCGTCGCCGATCAATGGTTGAAGGGGAAGAGATTTGCTGTTGCTGCTGAGCGTCGTCGACCTCTATACTCTTTCTCTCGTCCAAGTCCAACCCGCCCAACCGATCATATCGGCTCGTTAACTGATATTAATAGCAGGGCGCGCCCGATCGCTTTTTGAGAGCGCGTGCCCCAATTCCGCTTGAATTAAATCACGCCACGTCGTATTATTGATGCCTGAAGGAGGAGAATTCACTGGGTGATGTAGTTTTGTTTGTTTCTTTTTAAATTCTAGTATTTGTTCTGATGTGTGGTATTTAATGTTCGGTGGATGAAGCTGTAGAGAATGACATATTTATCAAATAGAAGTAAAGTTTTAATTTGATAAAATAAAAACTGCATAGTTGTAATACCAATAATGCCTATATATCAGATGAAACTTAGTCTTCTTTATTTTAAAGGTTTAGCGTGTTTATTAATTCTTATAATATTATGAGAAATAGATTCTTAATTTATATTAATTCATGTTTCTTTCAGATTAAGAGATGAATAGTACGCATAAAGAGAAAAAAAAGAGCTAACGTACAATATCAAACGTAAATTAGTATATACTCACACAAATATTTGAATCTTTGAGATTGATAAATCATTATATTGGCCGAAATATTTCATCAGCGACATCCTAGAGTAGCAACATAAACTTAATTATTCTGGAAATTATGTTCTCCGTACGCTATTAACTATCACTTCTAAGTGAAAGATATTTTTTAGGAAGCTTTCTCTTTGGCATATCAAACCGTAAATATACGCAAATAAAAACATTAATTTCCAAGTAACACCCAAACACGCGGACACAGAGACACATAACTCCAAGGCAAGCGATAAATTATCATAACAGACCTATGGCAAAAGGATTCACGCGATGGGCCATTTGGGTAAGAAGCCCGAAAATCGCGTGCAGAAGAACATAAGGATGTGCGCGCCACAAATGTTGCGCTGCTGCAGCGGCTCCTCCTCGTGCAAGCCGTTAAAAGTCTGACGTGGCTACGGCTGACGCGAGGAAAGTTTATAACGCTGCCAGAAAAGACATGTGCAACAATCTCTACTTTAATGCTCTCGCTCTCGCGAACCTGTTGAATGCCACTACACGCGCGTGTGCTTCTCGTGACAAATGGTGATTACACTTATTCTTCGTGCGATACAAATGATATGCCATTCGTTAGCTTCTTTTTATACTTAACGGAGCGCGAAAGTTTGATTCGCATTTGTTACAATTTTTTGAAATGCGATAGGTCAGACTACGTTATATACTAGAAATTTTTTCAACTCATCTTTCAAGGAGCTGCAGAAATTTTCCAATCGCTAAACTTTACTCCTAAGCGTATGAATCTCGGTTTCTGTCTCACCCTCGTCATCAAACGCTATATCCAAAGTTTAAAATCTCCCGAAGAAAACGAGAGCGAGAAACAGAATTGCTATATATATATACACGACCCAGGAGAATTTATCATTCGCGCAAAAGACTTTCCTCCGAAACTTTACACTCGCGAGTTTTGATATTTCCTCCCCCGCCATTAGCAACTGAAAGTGAACACAAAGGAGGGAGGAGGAAAGAGAAGCTCAGGAAGTCCTAACTCACAGGAAAGCTAGCGCCAGCCGTCGCTAACCCCTGCTATTAACATTAACCGAGCCTGCGCTTAATGGTGAACGGAGAATATTGTTATTTTTCTTTCATAGATCGATAGATTAACTATTGTTTTGATTGTTTTTGATTACGTTACGATTCAAGTTTGAAAGTAACTACAATGTATGGTGAAAAATGGGCTCCGATAAATAACGTATATATTGCAGCCTGTTTTGAATTCGTATGAATTGAAAAATTATAATTTCGATATGTAGTAGAGTCAAATTGATGACGGGCTATTTGGTATCAATTTGACGAATTGAATCGTTGCAATTCGTTATACATAAAACACTCTCATAGATAAAACACTACTACTCCTTTTTCGAATGATTAAATGAAAACAAAATTTTAGATAAAAAAATGATTATTTGGTGCGCCTTATAAGTGAATCAATACGGTACATTAACGTTTAAAACTGAATTCAATTAGACTAAAAATCACTTATTTATAATCAAAACAATGCCAATCTAGTTTTTTTGCTGATTTTTTAAAATTTAATTAGATAAATCATTGTGAAAAATTATAGATATATTATTTTCATAAATTCTTCATGAATGTGGTTATTTTATATAAAGTTAATTTTTTTATATAGTTATATTATTGTTAAGTAATAATTTTATAACAATTTAATTATTATTAATTTCTAGAGATTATAGACCAATCGGAAAAATATTATTTGATGATATCTGCTGCTTTACGTATGTGACTACTTGTGTTTATAAACATATACTATAATAATTTTTCACAAACAATCTTTTGGCCAAAACGACGTTCCCTTTCGAAGAAAAGCAAATTTAATTGTGCCCAATATTATAAAATAAGGCAAGCATCAACTTTAGAGCTTCTATTTATTCGTTTTGATTTATTACTCAAAACTGATAAATCTATTAAATGTATACGCATATTCTTCTAGCGATAAATATACAAACTATATCGAATGCAACTAAGATTCTAAAAGATCAATGTATTCATCATGCCATAAGAACGCTAAATAGCAAAAATGAAAAGAAGTGCTCCACCCTTCTCGAATAAAATTTTTACGTATGTGTGGCTAATATTCAACAAATAAGCGAAAAAGAAAAGAAACTCTCTGCCATATCGTCAATATATAATTGTTGCAAACTGGAGAATAGTCGTCGTTGTTAATGAGGCACGACATTACGGCGCGCGTTCGCAGGGAGGCATAGTAGTCCGCCATTGACTAGCGATTCTTCCACGAGATTTAACTTCCGGCGACTTCGAGGAGAGAGGAGAGAATGTTGCTCGCTCATGCGTATCGCGACGGACGCTCTTCCGATATCTCATCGCGACAATTAAGTGCCCTTTCGTTATGCCCTTCGACACACACACGGACCATTCTCGATAGAGAGAAAGAGAGGTAGGGGCTCCGTATGAGTTTAGTTTGGCGTATGATGTTCACTGGCAATTTCATCAATACGACTGTCATTGTGTGCAGACGGTAGTCAATCACGCGAGAGTTTTTGGATTATTACGTTTGTGGATCAGAAATTATGTGTCTGTTTTATTTACAAGTAGCTCCGAGAATTGTATTATAAATTATTTATGAAGATGTGAGGTGATCTTTAATATTTTACAAAATTTTTAGTACTTTTCAAGCAAATGTAAATTTTGTATACAACAAGCAGAATTTTGCAATTATTTGTCACATAGCCGAGTATGAGTCGCAATCAGTCATGGCCATCCTAAAAAATAAAAAAATAAAAAGTCGCCAAAAATTTCATAAAAAGTTCGTGATTTCAAAATCGCCAAGAAAATTCTCACATGCAGCACGAGGGTGCGTTCATCCTTCATTAAATTATCCATTTTTCGCGCAAGCATGGAAAAGCGAGAAATCGAGAGATAAAGCTCTGTCTCACCCTCTCTCTCTCTCTCTCTCTATCGTTCGTTCCTTCGCCCTCCCTGTGCACATACACGCGCGTGCGGGATAATGGTGGGGGATTTTCGAAGATCCACCCTGGATGATCCCGCCTCTAGAGTAGCGTTGCGCAGGCTCCGCCGTGCCAAGCCGGCGGCCAATCGGCGCTTCGCCGACTGATAACGTGACAGGAGAGAGTGTGGGAGAGAGAGAGAGAGAGAGAGAGAAACGACGACGACACACAGAGACGACTTATACACAAGCCTACAGACGAGACTTGGATTTTGGTGCGCGCGTCTCACTGTTATGCTCGTGCGTCGGGACTTACATTGGGACTTACTACTGTAAGCGGAGGGCATGTGTGGTATAAAGTGACGCGGTGTCTTGTGTTAAACGAGCGTGCGAGGGAAAGGTTAAGAAAGGAATCACGAAGGTGTTACGGACAGTGTGGAGCTTCCCCGTGCTGACGGTGAGTTTTTAATTACTGTGCGAGTTTTGTATTTTCTTATGGTGATGTACTTTATATGTAACTAGAGTTTATCTAAAAAAATTCATTTAATATTTTAATCGCATGATAATCGCAGGTTATGATGTAAATTTTCGTTCGCTAACTACTATAAATACACGAATTTTTCTTAAAAATTGTACTTACCAGCAATCAAATGGCGTGTTTTCGCATCGACTATTGACATTACAACTCTACGGAATATCAATGATAATCTTAACAATAGTCAAATTATTAAAAAAAAAAACAAAAAATATATTGCGGTATACAATGTTTCGCATGCGAGAGGCAGAAACGGAAGCTAGAAAACACGGTAATTTCGAGAATAAATCGCTTGCACCCGTAGATTTAGCATAGCAGGTATACGTGATATACGATCATTAAAGTAAACACTGATGTATGAAGAGGTCATGCCAATGCATAAATCATTCGCGTACGTCTCGCAAGCGGATGATTAGTGTAGCTACTGTTTCGCTTGAAAATCTCTCTCTCGTTCCGGACTTTGTCTCTTTTTATTCTTTTTACGATGCCTGTCATCTGTTTCGCTGGTTTAAAATTTGATTACTCAATCTGATGACACGAAATCTTGAGATAATAGAATTGTATAATGATATATCGATTTAATTTTCGTCGCAGTAATAAAAATATAGTTTTTAATTTTAACCACATTCAAGGCAGTGATTTGTGCGCTTTAAACTTGATCCTTCAAAATATAACATTCACTTGATGATTACTTAAATAAACTTCCATTTAACGAAAATCACATGAACTAAATTCGAATTAAAATATTAGCATTCAAAATATCTACCTGCTTTGCCAACCGAATAATGTCTTTAAAATTTCTAAAAATTCTTTATCCTTGATATTATTGTTGTCAAGTCTGATTTGCGATAAATTTTATTTGCTGTTCGCTTATGAATTTCAAAAATGAAATGTCAAAACAGTTTACTACTTCCGGATAATATATTTAAAATTGGATAATATATAATAATTACAATTTAAGTCTTTGAAAAAAAATGATACTGTTTATTCAAACGAAAAATCAAACGTAAATAAATAAATCAGTAGAACAAATGTTGCTTAAACTGTAGACTGCTTAACATTTCAATCAGCAGTATGAATATGAAAAAACTACATTAGTGAACGACCAAAACTAGCGAGCAAAGAAACAGAAATTCAAGTATTTCCCTGAATGAAACACGTGCATCTACGCACACAAAAGTAAACAACCAAGAGCACGAAATCGCGGATTGTCCGTCACGAATGCTCGGCATGTAGTGGCATGTGTGTGTGCGCGCGAGTATGTGCCACATGCAAATTGTAAAATAAGTGGTAATAAACGAGCAGCAGCGCGTTACGGGTAATTTGGCTTGCATAGTGTATCGCAGCTGCGCTCGCGTATAGCAGAGCGACGTGTATAAGTGTCGCGACGGTGGTGATCGTGAAGCCTTGATACTTTCCGCACGCTCGCAGCACTAGACACGCGAAATTTATGCAACGCCAAAGAGCGACAATGTAACGCGATATCATTTTGCATTCTCTCGCGCATTCATTTATTTATAGAGCTGGTTACACACACACACGCGCACATACGATGATTTATTTTAGACGGAGGCTGGGTATTGATGCAGGTGGGTATCGGTAGCGTAATTCTGTTTTCGATATAACGGTGTTTTATTGTATTTACAACTATCCAATATAACTGGTTCATTCGAATGCTAAATTTAAGATTTCGAGGACGAGTTACATTGTTTGTATTGGATTATATTGTTTTCATATTGCGACTATTTGTATACGTGTAAATTAAATAGTTATTTTATGAAAATTTAAAAAAATCTGAAAGTTTATTTTATTTTTTGGAAACGAGTTAGAGATCATTATATTACGATACATTCGCTAATAATCGAATATTTAGTTTAATTCAATAATAGTCATGCGAGAGAATGTTATAAAAGAACTACTCATCTATTGCAGAAAATGTTTTTCTTTTTTTTCATTAATACTCCATCTGTTCCCATGATTCTACAAGCACAAAGTTTTTCTCTCTGTCAGAACATGTTTTCTACTTTCCATAGTACGAATCAGAATTTTTCTTTTTAGTACCGTATAAATAATACCGTAAATAATTTTTTATATCTCTTAAAGATGCGTTCTATCGATGAATAGAAATTTATTGGCCAATGTGCTTTTTAAAAATCGGTGGTCGAGGATGTTGTGAAGTATAGATGACGTCATGCGGTTGGTTGACCTTTTTCGTTCATAATTTTTTATTTGAAGAAGGATCAACCTAGTACTATACAGTAAAACTTGTACGCTTAGAAGAAGGGATATGAACGTTAAAAATCGCTAGTAGAACGAAAGAATTGTTTTAAGAAACTGGTAACAATAATATGTATACCCAATGTCAGTCTGTGCCGTGTCATTACTCAAAAGTTACCATCAATGCTCCGTAAAAAAATGCAAGTCTGTAATGGTTAAGCTCTCGTGCATATATAAAAGTGAGAGCATAATGGGCCAAGAGAGGCGAAAAAATGAAAGAAGAAAAGCAAAAAAGCGCGAGTAGGCGTAAAAGAGCGTGGCGCAAAAAAAAAGCACGAGTCAAGCACCGTTACACAGCGCGAATGAAGTCCACGCGTGTGAGTGCATATCAACCCTTACGCGGCTCTCCTCTTTTTTCTATCATATAAGCTGTATAATGTTTAGGTCATAAATATGTGACTATCGATAGAGAATGTTTTCTGATGACTTGACGATTACGAGAAGTTTTCTGGATAATAAATGCATTTAGTATCAACAATTCAATTGTGTTTCCTACGCTACATTCATTGATTCAAGAACAATTGCGACGAGTTGCTGTCCTGGCAGCTTTCGACTGTCAGTGTCAAAGATTCATTAAATGACTATCATTCGGATTGTTTATTCAACTTTGTCTTGTATTTTGCCGCAAGCGCAACTCAGTATCGAAATAATGCGTTTCGCAAAAAGCCACTATCGGCAGGCCTGCAAATCAGTCAAGAACAAGTCAGTATATATGGCGACACTGAACTACATCTTGGCCAAACGCGATAATATGCACGTCCCACATCCGAAGATATATATATATATATATAAAGACAAATCGCAGCGGAGTGCGTCTCAAGTTGCACGCATCATCGCATCGCTCTGCCCACACCTCAATATTCTATCATACGCCATCTCGTCGATATCGCATCGGATCTCGCTATGACACTCTCGTTTCTCTGTGCATTTGAAATAGTGAAGACATGAGCGCGCGCGCGCGCATACACACGTCTCTCTTACGTGTGCACACAGAGAGTTTAGTGGCGAACGACGACTACGGCGGCGGGAGGAGGAGGAGGAGAGGAGGAGGAGGAGGAGGAGGGGGAGGGCAGTTTCCGGCGAGCGTTAACAGAGTAACAGAGTGATGTAATGAGGCCCGGAAGCAGACAATTTGCTGGCCGCCGCAGACGCAGACGACGTTCATGTGCCCGCTCGCCGCACCGAGTACCAGTGTGCTTTCTGTGCTGTACCCGACGACGACGACGACGCTGCAGGATCTCTCTTTTTATTTCGTTCGATTTTGCTTGACCGTGAACTACGCGGCGGACTGCGATTTCATACAGGTAGATATTTCTCGTGAAGTGTGTGACTATAAAGTGACGTGCAACGTGGCTTTTAGCGACGAAATACGATTTGTTTACGTGCGTGAGCTCATCAACGAGATTGAAAATTTTATCAAAATAATAATTCCAATTGATTCACAACAGGATGCAATACGTCCACCAAGTATTTTATCAAACTGTGCTCATTCAACCATGAAAAACATAGAACTTTCGTTAAATTGTAACTGAGCGTTCAGATTAAAAAATAATCTAATTTGACAGATTGACAAGGGAGAAAACGATATTGTTAACTACAAAACAATCATACGCACTGTAATTGAGTCGTTCAACTGACAGTAAAAAATAGTCGAGTGATATGTTTGTAAACTCGCGAATAAATTACTTAATTACAACGCTAGTAGCAAATCATTAGATAACGTTTGTTTTTACGATCTCATCCGTTCAGAGACATATAACGTATCTTTTTACTAGAAAAAAAGGCAATTCACAAACATCTCCACGTTCGACTCAAGTGATATCTGAATTATACCTTTTTCAGTTTTATTCGTTCGTTTCTGTACGAACGACGCTATATACGTTCTTTTGATATACTATGTCGTGTGGTGTGTTCGCCGGCTCTAATGATACAATTACATGCGTGCGCGCGCGATCTACAAAATGTGTAAACGTTGAAAAAATTACACACGCATACTTGTGTTATTTGAGCGCTCTTAATAAATGCTTCTCGCTGATCTACACGCCAGGAATTATAATTTGCGTATCGTGTTTCCCTTTTTTAATACATTCGCAAGCTTGAAGTTATGTTAATTTCAATCGGTGTTTTAGGTATTACGATTTTTTCTACGTGAACGTAGTATATTTGGATCATTTCTATCAATTTTCTGTACGTTATAAATTCTGATTGGTGATTTATTCTTACAATTATATAATTTATGTTATAATAAAAATATGTGTAAGTTAGCATTGTTAACGCTAGGTGATACTAATTATTATTGATAAATAGCAAACTCCATCTTATATTAATCATGATCATTAAATGGTTTCTAAAATCTTCCTTAAAAGCAATTGAATCTCTACTCACATTCCGGTTGAGAAACCAATTCTTTTCATCTGATTGAGAGATTGCTTGACTTTGAGAGAATCTAGAAAGACTGGTTCGCGTAATCTCTAAAAAAAGTTCATTAAAACTTTATTCACAATAAAAGATAAATAAATACATTCAAATATATAGTAATTTTATTACAAATCTTGTGTTTTCTCAACTTCTTATTTTTGATTCTTCAATATTCGATCAATAAAATGGCGTTTTTTATTCAGCATGTAATCAGTAATTCAAAAATATAGCCCGCCCATGCTCCCACTATGCACTCACATAAACTCAGACATTTTTTTAAATGATGTATGTAGTCGTGCGATACCCAATGAGGACCGTTTTGAATATTACTCGTCTTTGAAGAAAAAAAGAATTCATAAAAACTAATAATTATGGAAACAGTGTAACATTTCGTACAAAACTTCACAAAACAAGTACAAACAAAGATATAAATACCAGTCTGGTACACCGTTTAAAGATAAAATTTAATTTTTTGATAATCAACTTAACAACATATCTACTTTTTCTCAAGTTTCAAACAATAGACAGTTCAGAGAATATTCTCTGATTCATATTATAATTATTTGTAATAATTAATTCATTATTTTTCTGACTGAAAAAGTAATTCCTAATAAATATGAATTTTTTAAAAGCTAGCTGTATGAAAAGTTGGTTAACCCATCGCGCCCGTCTCTATTCAATTAGACACACAATTCAATTGTAATTATTGACCAAAATTAAAAAAATCTATAAATTGCAGGGGCGCTTTGGTGATGTACGACAGCGCTAGCTGTTCGTACGCAGGTGCGCTCGACTTAAAAGGAGCGGCCGGTGGCGGCGGCGGTGGTGGCGGTGGAGGCGCGACCACAGCATCGGTAAACGCGACAACAGCAGGAGTAGCGGTGCAAAGTGCAAGTACACCGTCGAGTAACGGAGTAGCCGTGGGTAACGTTAAGCAGGAGAATTGGCCGTATCGCGGTCTCAGCTGTGGCAGTACATTCCAGCAGCTCAAACAGAGCGTCGAAAAAGCCAAGCAGGCGCTCGCCGATCGCGGTGGCTATTTGGCTGGTGCTTTTTCGCCGCCGCCCAGAGCTAACTCTTCCACTATTTCACCGACTGCGTCCATCACAGGTGAGCGTTAGCTTTTATATTTTTACGTTTTTTCTTTTCTTTTGACATGTAACAAATGTATTCCACGCACATTTATATCTATACATTTTCCGATTTACATGTTTTTGAAGTACGGATAAAAGGTGTGAGATGGTAAGTCGTTCTTGCCTCGAAAGTGACCTGCCGATCGTACGCAGTTTGTTTGAATTACAAAAACACATGAACGAAATCACGAGGCGCAAAACTCGAGCGATTACTTTAGGAAGCCATAGATACAATTTCTTATGCATTTGTTATAAAAAAAAAATCGTGAACGAAAGAACGAATCGAGCGAAGGTAATTTGTCAGACAGAGCGTAGCTTCGTAGGAAAGAGAGGGTCGATGCAACGACGGCGAGTATCCGCCTCCTCTCGATGTCGTCGATTTCCGATTGTTTTTTTTAAAGCCAACTCCCAGCCCCCTCCGTCCTGCCTCCCTCTTCCTTTTCGCGCACCACAGTCGAGAGGCATTAATTACTCCCCGGCAGGCGTGAGGACGTGTACATCACGTTATCGTAGCTGTGTTGGAGCGCGACGATGTGGCATCTCTCTCGCTTGCTGAAAATTCATCTTTCGACGTGCAAGCGTTTGACGCGCTAAGTTATCGGGACTTGGAGATCTCGAAATGTTCGATGATTACGATCGCGACATGAAAACGCGATAATCAAAGTCCCTTCGCGCATCGACGTTCGCGGAAATCGCGCAAAACGGGATGGATAATAAACGCATCGAGTACGCGTAATCAATGCAACGGAATCGCTGCCGTTGTGCGAGCGTTGGCAGTATCTTTTGGAGAGATGTAAAACGGACAGTATAACGTGGAAGCGATTTTCATTGCTCGGCGTGCGCGAGAGGGTGGGAGAAAGGGACATAAAGTGGACCTCCGATGAATAAAGCATCGCGATGCGCCGAGCCAGAAAAACAATCTATATCCCGACAAAGCTGAAAGGTCAACGTCGCGTACCGGAAAGTTTTGAAAACACTATTTCCGCCGATAACTTTTTCAATTACTTTTTCTATCGTCGGTACCCTTCTTTTCTTACTTGTTTGACGAAGTGATGATCGATGGAAGGGGTTAACTTATATTTTAAACGTGAGCTCAGGAACCTTGAAATTGTAAAATACAAAACACCTACTTAACCTCAGTCATTGCGTACAATATGTCGAAGAATTACGATTGCATTTAAAAAAATACACGTTATAAACTTGCTATTGGCAAATCTGATAACAAATGATTCCACGTGAATTTAAAATAATGATATTTGCGACAATTGATTTGCAAACTTGTCCTAAATTCATACTTTTCGCAGTCATCGTTGTACACGTCACTTTCGAAATTTCAAGCTCGCCGCAGACGCGGCGTCCAAGAAAACTTCGTCGCAGAAAAATGTATCCCACGTCGCTTACAAAACGCCAAGGTATACCTGGTGACATTAAGAGAGGTCCTTTTAGCAAGAAAAGTACCACGTATGCGTGAAATACAGATAAGCGAGATGAAACGGCAAGATGGTGGGTATGTTGGTTTGAGCCGAATGATGGCGGCGGCAGAGAGGCTGCTGCAGAGGTGGGTTTAGCCGCACGCCGTGCGTTCTATCTCGCTCTGTCTCGGCCGGTATCCATGACGACAGACCCAACCCCCACCATCCCTCCGGATGCACAACAGCCAGAGAGCGAGAGAGAGAGAGAGAGAGCAACCCTCCCTTCGCCGTTGTGGGATATCGCACCCTCTCTCTCGCTACTTTTTTCTCGTCTTTGCCTTTCCGTTTCTTCTACACTCTCTCTTCTATCGCGAGGGCGAGAGAGAGAGAGAGAGAGAGAGAGAGAGAGAGAGAGAGAGGATGTACACCTAGTTAGAGTCAAGCGAGGATTGCTGCGGGATTACAAGCGTATCTGAGCCCGCCGCGCTGCCGGGAGACGAGCAAAGCTTGCGAGATCTTTAATCTTTCTCGCTTTTCTACGAAGCGAGAGAGAGAGAGAGAGAGAGAGGATGCTGCGATTTTTCTTTTTTTTCTTTCGACGACGATTGTATCGATTTTGCTGTACTCTCGTAGAGACATTGTTTCAAGCTTGTAACGGATATGGCTTGGCGTTTGAGTTTGCGATTCGGCGAGAGTAGTTGTATTGATTTCAACTACTTATATTGCGTTCCGAGCATTTTAACATTGGAAAAAGAATGTTTATATCCGTTATCATGCACGGAAATAGAACATGACACACCGTGGACAAAAGAGTGGTAACGCGCTAAACTTTTTGCCATATATACAATGGACAAAAATAAATCGACAAAGAAGCCAGTAAACGCAATGGTTATACAATTTGAATTCAAATCTAAAAGTGTCGCATTTGACACTGTACTCTTATATCAAAAAGTTAGTAATTCTGTAAAAAAGCTCTACAATCGGGTTTCGTCGAAAGTCGGGTCACGATAAAAAAAATAGCAATAGACAAATATAAATGAATTAACAACGAGACCATCATGTTCATGACAAATTTCATGACAAAAGTTTTACATAGCAATGTAAACACAACAGTACGTATAGTATATGTTTGCTTTCCTGATCGATGTTTGCACTGAGTCAACAGGCATTTGATTCCATTATACCTACATTAGACATCAAATTACCTATATTCAAATATTTTCTATTATCATTCCTATTTACGACTATCCGTTTTTATTATTGCCAAAACCGATCGTCTTCTATAATAAATGGCCCTCCATGCATTCACACACAAAAATAAAAGTAGACACCGCAAGTCATATCCATTTCTAACGCTCACTTGAGTATCCCACCATCTACATAACACTGATCAGGTATTAGCATTTCACATTGGATAATACCACCAGACAATCAACATACTACACACCCCTCGTGCGAGTTCATCCCCGTCTCTTAGACAAAACTGCTGTAGCACGTGTGATTCGATACGCGCGTGGCCAAAAAATAAAGTCGACGTTCTTAATAACTCATTCTGATTCGCGCGAAAACCTCTTATAAAATACAATGGGCGTAGTTTGCTTATTATGTTACAACTTTATTCCCGTAATCGTTGACGAAACGCTTCTTACCCCGTAGATTCCCACGCTTTTTTGCGGGCTGCGATCGATATATATACGTCGCGTACCAGATTTCGAGACAGGTATAAGAATATATAAGGATATAAGTCTTTTGTGCGTTGCACATCTCTCTCCCTATGCGAAAAGGAAACTACGCGCTTGCGTGCTTTGTATTTCAATGTAAACGCTTGCTGTCACGTATACTCGTGGGCTATCTGAACTTGAACTTAAATTTAGGAATAGTCCCGAGTTTTCATTCTTTCATAAAAATATTCAGGTGCCGCACACATTGAAACGATAAACGATACGAAGCTAGGATTTTTAACGACAATGCCTGACAAGCAAACTGTCGCGAGAAAGTTGATTATTACAACATCAAAGTCGGCACGCTCTCACGCGCGCGATTACACGGAATAATAATCGCAGGCGAAGCGAGGAGATAGACGATAAGTCCACACGTACACTATACACGTTCGGTAGCCCATCCTCGACGATGATATGGCATTAAAAGGTCGTGCGAAGGGAGGTCGACGCGTTGATAATTGCCGGTATCGGTTAACCCGGGGGGATGGCCGCCAGCGACTCTCTCTCTCTCTCTTCTTTTTCAACGTTGCTCCCTTTTGCAGGCAGAATGCTACAAAAGACCAGCGCAACGCACCCCCTCTTCGCTTCCGTTGTGTCCTTCTCTCTCTCTCTCTCTCTCTCTCTCTCTCCTTCGCTATGCGTGTGTGTCGCTCTTTTTTGTCGTTGTTGTTGTTGAGAGGGTGGAGGAAACGCTCTTTTGCGAGATGTATTCTTCGGGTCATCGTACCTCTTGCATTGTGTTAAATACTTTTTTTTAATCTTTTTGTTGACTGAATTGAACGTGTAGAAGAATCGTTTTCTGCGCAGATGGATACTTTTTTATTTTTACAAACTAAAGGTTTTAAAGGTTACAGGCTATAATTACTATGTAGAAAAATTAGAACGTAAAAAAACAACAAATTTTTAAAATATAGCTTTTTCATTGTTTTTTCTAGTTTTCACTTAAACTATAATAAGATATAAAAATCACAACATTGAAGTTACCAATCACGATGATAGGTACGCTAAGCATACAATATTCCCTTAATAAGTTACGTCGAGTACATAATGTATTAATGAATCACGTGAAAAGACTTAAAAGTGTCATCGTTTGGCTAATGATTTTTAACTTTCATACAGATGGGATAGCTATATTTATTCTGACTTGTACAAAAAATTACCTCTTTTAGTAAATGCAACAACAAAAATCATTACATAAAATTCACATTCCCACGCAACCAGCAGAACATGGTCAACAAACTCTGTGACCCTTATCGACACATCATGGCATACTTTTCCATCGTTACCCTCCCTTTTGTAAAAAATCGAAAGAAAGGCGCCAAACATCTCCCACCGGCAATTACAATTTACGAGCAGAAGCATCATCTCCTAAGCATCGTGAAAAAAAAATAAAGGGTAATAAAGACCGAGACGAAAAGACTATAATAACGAAACGCGTGTGTATGTGTGGGATAAAGCATAAGAGAACAAGAGAGAGAGAGAGAGAGAGAGAGAGAGAGAGAGAGAGAGCGAGATAGAAAAAATCGAATGAGACAAAGGGAGAGTAGAGAGTAGCATAGCCACGCGCCGGAAGCGGAACCGAAGAGCAGTCGCGTGTCCCCGCCGTTACCAAACGGAACTATCATGATTAGTCACGCGGGAGGGGGTTGCCGGTGTATGTGTGTGTCTACGTGTATACGCTTTTCCCAGCAGCCGAAGATAGTGCTTTCAATCAAAACGTGTATGCAAGCGTGTGCGCTGGAGGCGCGATACGCCTCGCTAAATTCAAAAACCCGAGAGATAGTGTGGAGTTTCTTACGTAAAGTGTCGATGACTCTCGGCTAACTAATTTTTCGTAATTTTAA